AAGCGTTTGTAAGAGTTAATAAGAAGATATTTGGTTCGAATAAAAGTTTTAAACAGTACAATACAGTCCAATTGCATGATATACATTCCATATTTTGCAGGAACTGTTTGTGCTTAACGACCAAAATCAACCATGTTAGAGCACTGTAACCATCCAGATACAGACACGAGAGCAGCCCACGCTGTAAGCAGTTAAGGCAGTAAACGGTGTTACTCAGCAGAGTAAATGTCGACACTCCCAACCACTAGCTCTTCTAGCTGCATGCTAAGCTTGTTTATGCAAAACAGCAAGATCATCACATTCGGTCACTCAGCTGATACGCGGCTGATCTATTTCCCTGACCTAAATTTAATCAATAAAAAAAGTGAAAAAACAATATCATACTTTTAACTGTCTATGAGGAAAACATCAGGCGTGTTATGCACTCATGATCAGGAGGTGTAAATAGTAAATATATCCGATGACAACATATTTAGAACTGTTTGTGACTAAACAGTGATTCATCCTGGTTGCCAGAGTGGGTCAGATTCTAAATACAACTAAAAAATGCTCTATGGTGAAATGACTACTGCTGCTGCAAAATCTAGAAAAGTATACGACCACTACTAATAACACCAACAACAACAGTAATAATAGTCCTAAAAAGCACATGGGCGTTTGGTTGCTACAGATTGGTCTAACTCATCTACACACTTAAAAAGATGGTTCAAGGGTTTTCTTAGTAAAGAAAATGGTTCTATATAGTGCCATGAACACCCAAAGAACACTTTAAAGGGTTCTTTGCATCGTAAAAAAGTTCATCAGATTGATGGATAATGTATTTTATATGGTTCCACACAGAACCTTATTGAAAAGGGTTCTATATAGCACCAAAAAGCATTCTTCTATTGTTACAGGCTTGACATCCTAACAACAAAAGAGCCCTTTTCGGTGCTATATAGAACCCTTTTCAAACAGGTTCTATGGGGAACCATGTACAGCACATTCTACATCAATCTAAAGGACAATTCAGCAATGCAAAGAACACTTTAATCATGCAAAGGGTTCTTTGAGAGTTCATAGTTCTATATAGAACTATTTTCTTTACTAAAGAACCCTTGAAGAACCATAATTTTTGTGTACAGGCAGCTCACAAACTCATTAGTTTCATCAGTTTAAGTTTCCCCTCTTAAAACTTAAGGTAATGCTGTTGGTCTGAAAATGGGCCCAATCACTGCTCGCCATCAAAAACACCTGCCTTCAGATCAGATCAGAAGGTTCTGGGTTCAAATCCCAATCTGAGCTATTGTTGCAAAAGAAGGGCATGCCTGTAAAACCTCCTCAGCAGTTAGCATGACGTAGTGGGTAACACTGCGGCCTTCACATGGTAGACCGGGGTTCGATTCCCCACTCAGGGAAGCACACAATGCTACACTAATAACTGTCCTTGGGCTGGACTCCTAACGCTACACGCTCCTACTGCTGGATTTGTAAGTTGTATAAAATATTGGAGATACAAATGTAAAACGATTAATCTTTCAGATCTATGTATAACACAGTGATTAGATTAATTCTTTTAGTGCCAAGCAATACACTGTTTATACTGGTATACTTGTATGGGTGTCACACAATAATATTGGTTTTAGCATTAACAAAAACCTGGATAACTGCAATATAATGCGTACTGCTGGACTGAGCAAACAAAATCCACAAAAATAAAAAGAGAAGAAAACAGAAGAAAGCAGTCCAGGCTTTCAGGTCTGTAAGACATCCTTTAAGCCCAGAGTAGCAGCTCTCAGCCCTGATACTGTGGTAATATCTTGATATTTACATTATCTATACAGCTAGGCACTCCTTATTTTGCCATTTCTAACAAAACCCTGTGTATCACATATAAGGCCCTAAGGCAGGGGTGCCCAAACTTTTTTAAAAGAGGGCCAGATCATACTGTGTCATAATACCCGAGGGCCGAACTATTATTTACAAATGATTCAAAATATTATTATAAGTCTTCAAAATATCAGCGCATAGAAACTGAGCTTTCTGTGAGCTACTGTGTTTCCTATCACTGCATAAAAGATGCATGAGGCTTCTTTTATTGTTGGATTGTTCAATCGGAACAGTCTGGATCGATAAGCGCTTATAATAAATAATTAAATTGTTTAGGAGTAACAATACAACATCTGATGTATTAATCATAATCCTATTTGTGTGTTTACTTGTTGAAAAATATACTTTGTGAGACAAACTAAACAAAATTCTATACATTTTTGGTTTTGTTTGATAACGTTCTTTACATACCAAATAAACACAGCGTAGGACTTTGGACACCCCTGCCCTAAGGCCTCCTCTTCACCTTCAGTATAAAACCTTGAAACCAAGCTACTCCTTACTGACTGATAAATCTTTTTTAAAGGGGAATTCCACCAATTTTTCAAAATTCAGTCTTTGTGATGTAGTCATTCAGAGTGGTTTGTCTAAAACCTAACCTACACTGGTAGCCAGTTAAATTCTGCACTCAGTATAAATATTACTGACATATAAAGCTCTAAATAGACTCGCCCCTCAGTGTCTGAATGAACTATTAGTACCTAGAATCAGTGAAGTTACATCAGTGCGTAGAGCCTTTTCATACAAAGCCCCCCAGCTTTGGAACAATCTTCCAGTCAAGTGTTCGGGACTCAGACACAGCCTCAGTCTTTAAGTCTAGGCTAAAACCTACTTGTTAGGCCTTTGTTCATTTGTTTATGTGATAAAAGGTGCAGATCTGGGGGTTCATGGACATAAAGTCTTACAGTCAACTGCTGTCGTCCCGCTGCTCTCACGCACTCACTCAGGTTTGTTGACAGTGGAGCGGAGGGGTGCTGACATCTCAGGGAGCCCTCATGCCCGTTACCTTCTGGCTCTCCCTATTAGTTAGACTGTAAAAACTAGACCTGCCGGAGTCTCTGCTGCACTCTGTTACACTGGGTACTGTAATAAGTCTCTCTTAACAGAACTAACTGTTGTGTGTTTCCTTTCCAAGCTGAACAACTAAAGCAACTGTCTGATGCTGTTGCTTCATCTGCCTTGATCGGGTGCCCACTGCTTGCCCGTCTTCTGGACCTATTTGACCACCACGGAGCTTCCTGCTGTACAACGCTGGGCAAACCTCACCTGCATGAACTGACCCTCTTGATGATGCTGCTGCTGCATAGACTCGAACTATTTAATCAAAGCCATTGCTTCTCCTGCTTATCGCCTTTTTCTGCATTTTAATATTTTGCTAAAGTTTTGTTAAAACTTTATTTCCTGTTCACATTGATATTTTGTTATTGTTTTGCTATCCGGTGTCGACCAGAGGTTGATGCGTTCCCTTTTTGAGTCTTAGTCCCTCTCAAAGTTTCTTGTTCATAGGGAGTTTTTCCTTGCCACTGTTGTCACTGGCTGCTCACGGGAGCTTGGACCTGGATTTTTTCCCTGTAAAGCTGCTTTGCAACAACGCCTGTTGTAAAAAGTGCTACATAAATAAAACTTTGACGTAAAAAGGTTCATTGTAGGGAAAGTTACAGACTCTGATTTCTTCACAATCATGATTATAGGAGCCATTTACCAACCACCAGTGAACCCAGACGTGTCTTCTGAGTTTATATATGTAATGTTGACGATAAAATAGTCACAAATCTGAAAAAAAAGATTTCTTTGGAGACTATCTTGCTCTGCATGTACCCCATTCGCCATGAACAGATTAAAATAAATGGATTTAAGTCACAGCTCTATCGCAAAACTAGCACAAAACAACGTGTCAGACATCAGGCAGCATCCATCTAATCATTTCATGTAATAACTTTCTGTGAGGGAGGTTTTAGAGGTGGACGTCTGGTTCCCATCACCACCACTGTGAACATTTCTCTCTCTACAACAGAGCATTTCTCACCAAACCACTCCGAATGGCTTTGTTTACATCTATGTAATTGTGTAGATTTCCTGAAAAATCGGTGGAGTTCCCCTTTAAGTGGGCAGGAAACAAAAGTGGAAAAGCAGCTCCTTCCAGTGCTGCTCATCTTAGTCACTAATTTGAGTCATGATGGGCTAGTCCATGAGGGCTATGACACGCTGAAGTATCGGGCTAATAAAGGACCTTAAAGCCCAACGTGACACCTAGAAGCCATTAATGTTGATGAAAAGAAAACCACAAGCAGAGAAAGCAGATTATTTACTGTAGAAACTGTTTCACGGTTAGAATATGTGGGTCAAACTGTGGCTAATAGCCTAATAATAGCTTATTAGAGAAGAGCACAGCAGAGCCACGGCCCAACGGCGAAGACCAGGATTAAGACAGACAGAGAGAGAGACAGAGAGAGAGACAGACAGACTCTTGGAAAGTCTAAGCTATAAAGTTAGCTTGGTAGGTCATCGAATGAGAAAGTAAAAGTAGACAGCTCATACATACGAAGCTCAAGTTAACCAGCTTATTCTGAGGAACTTCCCGTTCCACCTTAAACGCTCAAGCTGTTCCATTCTGCAACTGTCGCGCACTTAAGGTGGACCGGAAAATTTGCATGAGAAGCTGGTCAATGAAGACTTCAGCCTCGGGTTTTGTATGAACTACTCGGATGATAGGAGATATTTACACAGCTCTGTTTGGCTCAGCGTTCATTAGGCTATCTCGGTGATGCTAACTGGATTAATTCTACCCTCTATTTCTGGACTCCTGTCTTCCTAACGACGCACTGAGCTAACATTAGCTCACGTTTCTCACGCCACTGTCAAACGGAACACTTTTAACTCGTTTAACGTGCTTTTACTGCGCTGACAAATACCGTAGTTACCCAGACAAACTGAAAAAACAGCCGCACCAGCTCAGCACAACCAAAACAGCCTCGTAGCAGAGAACATAACAAAGTGAGTTAGCTAGCTAACTTTAGCTGTCCACCCCCGGCAAAACAAGCGCTCAAAGAAGTTGCCCACCTTGTTCGCCCCAAAAAGACAAACGGCGTATTTATGTGTCGGTTTACGAAACAGCATCGTCGGTCACTCACCCGTCGTGTCTGTGAGAGGAAAATAATAATAATAATTTGAAGAGCCAGCAAGCCGAAGCCGAGGCTTCTCCTGGAGAGAGGCATCTCTGCGCAAAGATAGTGAGAGAGAGCCGAGAGGCGCTGCTCGGTCTTATTTCCTAAAGTCACCCACTGCAGACGGAGCTCCAAGGTCTTCTTCACCCGTTCCAGGAGGATGAAGAGCACTGCGCTCACAGCGCCACCTGCCGTCCACATCGCAATGTTGTGATGTTAATAGTGAACGTATTTAATAATTTAATTTAATAATTTTTCGCATTTCTTATTTGCATTTCTTGCTGAAATAAGTTGATGTTGCTGCATCTTCTACTAATTTAAGGTGCTAGTGTGCAGTAAAACCCAGTACATTTCCACGAGTGTTTATTTGTATACACATTCACTGACCACTTTATTAGGTCCACTTACCTTGTATCTACTCCACTCACTGTGCATTTTTTTCCATATAGGTACACCTTTTATAGTATTACTTTGTGTATATATATATATATATATATATATATATATATATATATATATGTGTGTGTGTGTGTGTGTGTGTGTGTGTGTGTGTATATGTGTGTATATATATGTGTGTATATATATGTGTGTGTGTGTATTCACGTAGATAGATAGATAGATAGATAGATAGATAGATAGATAAACATAACCCATTTATTGCATGAAACGGCAAGTCATAAGAAGATGCATGATAACGTTAAACCCTCGACTATTACTAAACAAAACTTGTGTAACCGGTTTTAAAACCGCTCATTTAGCACTGTTGCCGAGGAGCTGTCCACTTCGTTGTTAGTGACGTCGTCATGTTGTGGTCAGGGAGCGTGTTGATGTTGACAGAGGCGTGCTTATGTTGTTGTCAGGGGGCGTGTTTACATTGCAACGCTGGCATGGCCAAGTAAAGGCGCTCAAAACAACAAGCCTGCACCAGAAGCTGTGAAACAGCGCCATCCAGTGTACTGACGTCCATACTGAAAGTAAAGACGTTTTGGACCTTTTCAACATTAATAAAGACGCTGCGTTGTTTTTTAAGGCAAAGCTGGAAACAACACGCGTATTTTCAAGGGGCAAGTTTTGCCTTCACTGACTGAAATTCAGGGGCATTAAATACATAAACAGAACACACAGAATGAAGTTTTACAATAATCTGCTGTTAAACAATGTTACCCACAGTCATTGTGTCTTATTTCCAAGTTCATATCAATTTAATACATTTATGAAATGATATTTTGGGGATGTTTTTGTCCTTGTTCTTGTGTGTTAAGGACCTTTTATGTTACATTTTATAAGTATATTTCTCCCTGGCTATTATGCTTCCATAGTATATATTAAAAATCACGAATATTTGAATATTCAGCAAAGCTGTTTTTCTGAAGTTTTATTTAATGATATTATCCATGCATGTGAATTCCATAAGAGTTTATTTCTGCTGATATACAGTATCAACATTAATTCTGTGCTACATGAATAGACAATAGTATGTGCATAATAGTCCTTAATGTGCTACTGATATAAACAGCTACTGATATAACCTTATGAACACACAGCGCTGTGCACCCTTCATTTAATCTCCAGTCAAATAGGCCATCAAGTACAAGTTATTCATTGTCAGGAGATTTTTCTGAGAGGATTAGATAGAAGATAATTAGAAACAGGAGTTTTTCAGTATTTATTGTGTCCATCCTACTTTTATTACGGACAGTCCTGCAAAAAAAAAAAAGCAGGAATTTTTTTCCACACCTCCAAAGTTCAGTCTCAGAAGTTGGCTGCATTTTCTGCTTCTCACAATCCAAATACTCCCAAACACATTCAGTGATGTTGAGGTCTGGACTCTGCAGTGGTCAGTCCATTGTTCTGAAAACACCATCAGCTTCTTTGTTTCATTTGCAAATGTTCTTCCTTTTTTCAGAACCTTTTTTTTCAGATCTGAAGCAGCTTGATTTTCTCCTCTCTCTCAAAGATGAAAGCTTTAAGTGCTGTTTATCTGATGGGGGCAGTTTTGGTGTCTACCAGGTGTTCCAGGTGGTTGTTAGGAGTCCTGTTTTCTCTGTATCTGTTTTTCCAAGTATTTTTTTGGAATTTCCATTTTTCACTTCTTTTCCTTTGACTTTCTCCTTCCGTATGCAAAGAGGCTTATCTTACACTATATAGACAAATGTATTGGGACACCCCTCCTAATTATTGAGCTCAGGTGTTTCAGCCACACTCATTGCTAACAGGTGGATAAAACTAAGCTTTAAATTTAGCCTTGCAGTCTCAATAGACAAACACTGGCAGTAGAGTGGGTCGTACTGAAGAGCTCAGCGACTTTAAACGTGGCACTGTCATAGGATGCCACCTCTGCCACACGTCAGTTTGTGACATTTCTGTTCTGCTAGATTTGTCCCTGTCAACTGTAAGTGCTATTACTGTGAAATGGAAACGTCTAGGAGCAACAACAGCTCAGCCATGAAGCGGTAGACCATGCAAACTCAGAGTGGGGCTGCCGAGTGCTGAAACACACAGTGCCTATCCTCTGTTGAGTCACTCACTAAAGAGCTCCAGATTGCCTCTAGAAGCAGCATCAGCAAAAGAACTGAACGTCAGGTGCCTCACAAAAAGGGTTTCCATGGCCGAGCAGCTACACACAAGCCTAAGATCAAAATGCACAGTGCCAAGTGTCGGATGGAGTGGTGTAAAGCACACCGCCACTGGACTCTGGAGCAGTGGAAACGTATTCTGTGGAGTGATGAATCACGCTTCTCTATCTGTCAGTCTGATGGATGAGTCTGGGTTTGGCGAATGCCAGGAGAACATAACCTGCCTGACTGCACTGTGCCAGCTGTAAAGTTTGGTGGAGGAGTGATGATGATATGAGGTTGTTTTTCAGGGGTTGGCCTAGAACCCTTATTTCCAATGAAGGGAAATCCTAATGCTTCAGCACCAAGACATTTTGGAAAATTGTATGCTTCCAACTTTGCGTGAACAGTTTGGAGAAGGCCCTTTTCTGTTCCAGCATGACTGAGCCCCAGTGCACAAAGCAAGGCCCATAAAGGCCTGGCTGGGTGAGTTTGATGTGGGAGAACTTAACTGACCCGCACAGAGCCCTGACCTCAACCCCATCGAACACATTTGGGATGAACTAGAACGGAGATTGCGAGCCAGACCCTCTCGTCCAACATCAGTGTCTGACATCACAGCTCTTCTGGATGAATGGGCAAAAATTCCCACAGACTCTCCAAAATCTGGTAGAAAGCTTCCCAGAAGAGTGGAAGCTATTATAGCTGCAAAAGGGGACCAACTCCAAATTAATGCCTGTGGATTTAGAATGGGATGTCATAAAAGCTCCTGTAGGTGTCCCAATACTTTTGTCCATATACTGTATGTCTCATCTCTTCAGAAATATCTCCTGAAAAATGAATAACTTGTGCTTGATGACCGTTATGACTGGAAATAAAGGGTGATCTCTGACTTTTGCACAGTTCTGTATATGAGAAACAGACTGGCGCTTGTAATTCTATCTTGTGTAATTCTAGTTGTGAAGAGCATGATTCACTGAACCGTGTGTGTGTTTTGAATTAGGGTATTAAAATGTGACAAACTTCATTCCGTAAAACAATCAGGCCATTTTTTCTCATTGTTGACACATCTGGAGCTAACTCGAAGCTTCCTTTCTGCTTCGGAAACAAAGGCTTAAGCTGGACTGAACCCGATTTCCCGACAGATCTGCGGTGTTAAGATCAGCTTAACTGTTGGAGAGAGGGCTCAAAGTGATACAGCCGTCTCATGATGAGCTTAATGCTTTCGGGAAATGAAGTCCCACCCAGACTGATTCACAGAGCTCTGAAATTAGCCATGATTAGACTGCCAGCCAAACTCTTCAGCTTGCTTTGACTGATGTAATCAAGTAAACATCTCAGATAAACCTCTGAATTTAGTCAGATTAAGGCATTTTATTCTTTGTACTTTTTACAAGTAATAATTACAGACATAAGGGAGAAACAATGAGCAGTACTGGCGGGGATGTTTCAACGATGGAGTGGCTGTATTGAAGGGGATTTCCATTGATTTCTCAGAATTTTCTGCATATTTAAATGATTAAGCTGTAAACAAAGTCTCTGATGTAAAACTAACCATGTCAGCATTGTTTACAGTGATGATAGGAACCAGATGTGTGAAGTGCTTAATGCCTGTAGAACCCAGTAATGTAATCATCACTGTAATACAATGTCTTAACTGATAATGTAATATTCCATTATTGGGAATTTAGTGCTTTTTCAGGTTGAACGCATTTGATTTAATAACTTTTTACAGCATTGGGTTTTATAACATTTTTGTCAAGCTAAGTGCAAAACTGGGTCTATTACATTATTGGAAATTATTGCATTATTGGGCCTCTAAAAAACTGCCCCTAAAAGCTCACTCAAATAAAACTATTACATGAAACGGTTATGGATATGCTGCCTGACGTCCGAAGCATTATTTTACAATAGTTTTGAGATAGAATTTTGGCCTAAAAATGTATTTTTAACAACCATTTAATGTGGAGAGGTATAAGCAAAGCAAAATAGACCCAAAACGCAATTTTCTTCAGATTTTCCACCTTTTTTCCATCAACATTATATATGAAAACATTACATATGAAGACATGTAGGTTCAGCGGCTATACTTGTGTTGCAACTCCTGGTTCCATTCATCACCATTGTAAAGAAAAATGTCCAGTAAGTTTCTATGCAATGAACCATTTCATATCACACCACTCTGCATGACTTTGTTTACATTTCCACAGCTGAATTATGCAGAAATTACATAGAAAATTCAGTGAGAGATTTACAAAGGCATCCAAAACCACACACTATACTCTACATACTATACTAATGAATGCTGTTCTGTAGTGAATAAACTTTTTTAGTATGTTAATATGCAGTTTTGGATGCATCCAACAGAAAAATAGATCTTTCTTAAAAGACACTTTGCAAGCTTTAATGATTTTTAGCTCAATATAAAATCCAAGGAGTGCAACGATGCAAAGACACAAGAACGAATTGACAGAGAGTGAAAGATACACGTGACCCTGTACACAGCTTGTATGATACCAAATAAGATACTGTAATAGATGCGATAACACAATCATCATCAGCCATATCTTTCAGTCTTGTGCACGTACCTTTTGTGAGTTGGCCTGCTTCTCCCAGGCCAACAGACACTTCCAGCATAAAAATGGTGGTCAAACTTCAGTGGGTTTAACGCCACCATTTTGTCCTTTATTCACAGCAAATATTCATGGCTCAGCCTCCCGTGATTTGCTGATGAGTCTTCGTAGTGTTTCAAAGCTATACATGCTACACAGCACAGTCCCAATACATGACACATGATTGGTGTTGGTTGTCCTCATCCAAAATTTTCTGAAAGTCATTTTTCTGAAGCATCAGTGTCCTTACATGGTGAGCTTACACACAGAATGTGCTTTAGTCATATATTTTGGACACTGAATGAGGCTGAAATTAGAAGCATCCTTGTCGAAAAGGCAGAGCTCACTTTGTTGACTTAGGGCTGGGTCATTCAATAGTTTTACGGTACCGACCAAATGACTTCAACACTACCAAGTATCGAAACCTTAACATCATTTGAGATCAGATTTCACTACACGAGTGGCCAACGTTATCAGCATCCTTTAGCCAATAAGCAGGCCCGTTCACAGATATTTTTGGGGGACAGGGGAAAAGGGGGCAACGTGAACATGAATTAAACTTGTATACTGTATCATTTATAACCACTTCTCAAGAGATACAGCGTAATCATGTTTCAGAGGAAATCAAATGTAGTGTGAAGAATTTTCCAAAGGCAGCCAAAACACTAATTAACTACCAATGCAGGGATTCTAACCCCAGTCACCAGCAGGCAAAGCCATGACGTTACTCATTACACCATCTAATCACTTACATAGCTATAAGAGCTTCACTAAGTCCCATATAAATCTGTTTTACAGAATGTGACGCTGTCTTAAAGAGAGTATCAGAGTACTACTGGTGGGATTTCCAGTACTGTGGTGATGCATTAGAGGTTGGTACTGCACCAGAGGGGGCGCCCAGGATCAGTGAATCATTTTGAACCCAAGCCAACCCAGAAGCTCTATTCCTGGGGCGAGGCTGAGCCTCATTTGACTGAAATTGATCTTGAAGAATGGCAGAGACAATATAAAATACACACTGACCAAGAGGGCATTTATATAGTCTGAAGGCAAAGGGGCAAGGCTCAAGCACCAACACAACCCCCTGTCCCCCCCAAACCAGGTTTTATCTGTGCACATGCCTGCCAACAAGCATGCGTGTCCCAAAATCTAGACTGGCGATTGGGTGCCTAAATTTCATTCATATACAATGTATATAACTAATGTCAGTGTTTCTTGATTAGACTGAAATCTGTTTCTGCAACTCAGAGTCAACTCTAGGTTAAGCCACACCTACTTTCAGTTCATTATTTAATAGAATTATTATTCAGGAATTGGAGCCAAGGTGTCTGTATTTTTTCGGTACCTAACAATACTGAACAATACCCAGCCTTACTTAGGGCGTTTTCACACTTGGCCTGAACGCTTGGGTCCACGTCCAGGTTCGATTCCAGGCTCGCTTTGAGAAGAGCGGGTCTGTTCTCACACCTTCTGAACTGTGCAATTCTATACACTAAAAATGTGATGAACAGCAGTTGTTGGTGACATGTTTCATGCAAGAACACATGGGAACTGTGTACTTTTCTTGCTTGGGAAGATTTCTTTGCCATCCAGGCTTTGCCCTCTACTTTTAATAAAACTATATTGAAGTTGAGTGGGATTTTATGCATTTACTGAAGAAAAACATGTTGGTAATTCATTCCTGTTGAACTGTGCAACTACAAAATAGAAATATTATATACTTGTATGGGCGACTCTGAATAAATGAAGAGGATAGTAAAGGAAAGTAACAATGAATCGCATGATTTAATTCCCAGTTTTCCAACACGGTGCAAACTGCGCTAGAATTCGCTTGAGGTTTCCAGGTGGCGAGGGGTGAGTTTTGATGTCATTGTCATGGGGCGTGGTCATGTTGTTGTTGTCAGGGGGTCATGTTGTTGTTGTCAAGGGGTCATGTTGTTGTTGTCAAGGGGTCATGTTGTTAACTACACGTACCGAACTTTCTGTGCAAGCATTCTCAGACGTGAAAGTGTGAAAACGCCCTTGTAGTCTAGCTGAAAACGAACAACAAAGTGGTGCCTGAAAAGTAACCCGAAACAACCAAATTCTAGCTCCGCCCACAAAGTCAGAGGCAACGTAGAGCCTTGCAATACAGACAAAGACAACTTTGTGTGGGTCCATTTCCCTCTACAAAACAAAAGAGGCCTGCTAGGTCTCTATTGTAGCTTCTAAACAGTTCCTGTCTTCACAGGAATCTAACCCATGCTAGTGCACCTCCACCCCCATGTATTCTGCGTTCTCCGCAGCAGGGAGGTGACCGTTGGCCTTTGGCTTCACCCCCAGTGGGCAGAAGTCCTGTTGGTAGTCTGGGTTGTCTATGCTGCTCTGGGCGATGAAGCTGTGCCCGTTGGGCCGGAAGTGGCTGGACGAGGAGGGAGAGAGGAGATGAGCCTGAGAGTTGTTTAGATGAGCCTGGGATGTGTTGAGGTACTCAGGCGGACTAATTCCAGAAGAAGCTACTGGGTTTTTGAAGCAGTTGAGGTACTCCTCCTCTGTCTCGTCCAGGGCACCTGTGGGGTGGGCCGCACGTGGTGGGGCTGGGTGCTGATAGTTGGGGTTGGACATGTCTGACAGGATGGCACCGTTCTGCTGGTTCATGTATTCTAGAGAGAAGAACAGATAGAAATTTAGAGAACCTGGGAACTGAATGAATCTAGTGTTAAAGGGCTTTTACACTGAAATGTCTGCATGATTAAATAATTAATATTTACTACTTACATTTAATGATTAATATGTATATATTAATATAACAAAATATCATGAAATATAACATAAAAGCAGCAAAATATGTAGTTTGACCCAGGTGCCCAAACTTTTGCATATAATGGATTTATCGCTATTTTACAATCTTTAACATTACATATAAAAACTCATAGAGACATGTAGGTTCACTGGTCATTTTAGATAGTAAATAAAATGGCTATAACTGCTTCAGACGCCTGGTTCCCATCACCACCACTGTAAAGAAATCTGAATGTTTCTATACAATGAACCATTTTACATAAAACCACTCTAAATGACTTTGTTTACATCCCAATAACTGAATTATCCAGACTTAAAAAATCAGAATAGAATTTCCCTTTAAGTTAAGACCAATGAAACGAATTTAGCTATCAAATAACTGAAAGCTAATATCCCAGCAACTAGCGTGTGCAAACTACATCTTATTTCAGGTCAAAAATATCTTAATTTTGTTAATAATTGTCCCTTCTTTATAGATAATGTACGCCATAGAGTGTCAGAAGACACATAAGCAAATTATATCAGATCACTTGACAGCCTAATGTGGTTTGAGGCAAGTGTGAGAGGATTTAGCGCTGCTGTTTGCATAATGCTAATTGCTAGCTTGTAGGCATACATTACTTACTGTAGTCACATTAGCCTCCAGTGCAAAACTAAAGCAAATTTCAGACTCCAAACATGTCTTGGCTGATCGACTATGTTTGGTTTGAGAGAAAAACTGTGGAAATTATATTTTTTGACAATATTTTCCTTTCATTTTGTTAAGGGAGCATTACATCCATAACTCTGTTGCCTAGTCTAGATGGACTGATAGCTCACACAACAGCCCCATTCTATAAAATAGAGGGTCAGGGGCAACGCCCAAACCTGAACTCAGCGCTACTCACCTGGGGCAGGCTGGAAGTCTCCGTCCAGGAACGGGCCGGTCGGGTCTGGGATGTAGCGCAGTATGACACTGTTCTCTCTGACTGGGAAGAGATTCTGAAACAAAAGTGCAGAGTTAGTACTCAAGCACCACTCATAAACATAAAATCCAACAAAAAATTTTCTATTTCCTAAAACTAGATCATGGCTATTACTTCAGCTACAAAAGATGCACAGATGTCCCAAGACCAATTTAATCCATGTTTATGTCTTACGTCTTGACCCTTGTGCGGTGTTCGTGTTTTTGTTACTCAGTGGTCTGATAGACCCACCACATTACTGATTTTTTACATTACAGCCATAACATTTTATGTAAAAGTACCAGATGTTTAAAATATCACAAGTGGCCAGCGTAGGGTTCTCCTTTAGCAGCTGTAGCCAGTCAGCAGCCTGTCCATGTTGTCCACCCTCACACACACGCACACATATACAAACACATACACACACAGACACACACACACACTAACAACAGGCCATGTAGGAGGAGAACAGAGTGAAGGACACAGCACTTCCACACTTTTACTCCCCGCAGGTTCACCCAACACCACAGGTGTAATATAAATGTGTGGGGGGGTGAACAGAGTGAAGACACTGAAAATGGGTTATTTTATGTTCTTCACAGAAAATGAGCAAAGGCCAAGAATCTGAGGTTAATATAATAATAAATCGCATCATTTTTGGTAAACATTGAAAATGGGTCCCAGAGACCCCAACACCACACAAGGGTTAAAGGTGTATATATATCTTTTTAATGAATAACGTTCATTATTTTTTTTCTCATATTGCTGTATAAGATAATAATAATAATAATAATATTACACACATTATCACGTTAGCAACGTTAGCACATGTGGTAACATTTGCAAAGTAAAACTTGAAAGTTTACGAACAAACCTTAAGTTGGCTTGACAAAGCCAGATAAAAACACTTTAAAATAAAGTTAAAATAGTTGCAGACTGTTGGTTATTTTTAATAACGTATTTGAGTTTATATAGTCATTTTAGGCAGTTGCTATGGAGTTACTAGGAGGTTGCTACAGTGCTTCAGTTTATTGTTAAGGCACTGCTTGGTGGTTGTTAGGTGATTGGTAATGTGTTTCTAGGCCATTGCTATTGTATCCCAGATGGTTGCTAAAGTGTTGTTAGGCCATTGCTATGGTATCCCAGGTGGTTGTTAAGGTGTTGTTAGGCCATTGCTGTGCTATGTGCTATGCGAAAAAAAATTGCCTTTCAATGGACACTGTAAGGGGCACCGTAGGAACACCCCGGGTCAAACTGGTTAAAGTACAAGCAACCTCTTCAGGTACAGGCTCTACAATCCTGCAAAGTTCCATGGTTCTAGCACTAACGCTGTAGGATAAATAGCGTTGCCAATTTTTGCTAACTTTTACAAGCCAACTTAATAACACACAATAGAAAGACACTTCGCAAGGCACTGATCTGCAAGTTTATTAGGTACATCGCACCTTTCATTGGTCATTTTATCTTAAATTAAACATTGACTTAAAAATCAGGTTGCTAAGGTAAACACAGACACGCAACTATAGTAACACGGAATAAACATTTGTACAATGTCAACTAATTTTCAGTGTCAAATTTTAGATCACAGTTGGAGCTAAGATCTGCCGGGTGCCACATCTTCAGGAACAGGATTGGGCACCCCTGCTATCGGTTATTTCTCATGTAGACCACAGGTTCCCAACCCTGGTCCTGAAGTGCCCCCTGCCCTGCACGTCTTTGTGTTTTCCTGCTCTAAAACACCCAGTTCAACTCAGGAAGGGCTTTTTAATTAGCTGCTTTGTTGAGTCAGGTATGTTGGGAGCAGGAAAACACTACAATGCACAGGGCACTGGGTTCTCCAGGACCAAGATTGGGAACCACTAATGTAGACTATCAACATCATGTTAGCAGAAATGATTATAACATTTACATTTCTGCATTTGACCCTTTGAGAATCGTGCATCAACTTTTGGAAGCATTAACTATTTTCGTCAGGCTGCTATGAAAAATGCTCTATAAATAAATCAGCTTATTTCTGGGGAAGAACTAGTATGACTGTTTAAAGTGCAGTACAGAAAATGGCCACATTTGGTGTCCCCAGAACAGTTTCTGGGCCTTTTGCCGTCGCTCACTCACCCCATTCCTGTTCTGGCATGATCCGATGCTGCTGTTGAGACTCTGCAAAAAACAACAAAGACATGGTCTTATTCACGATCTTGACAACTTCTTACATAGAATACACACACATAGAACTTTTGTTGTCTTTTACTTCTTTTTTTACCGAAGTGAATGTCTCTCATAGGTTTTAAAATACAATGTTTTTGTGGTACCACAATAGACACCTTCAAATTCTGACACCTCTATAATTGATAGAGGATAATCATATTTTTCTCTTAATTAAAGGATATGCTGGCACCTGAAGTGATCCTGATTAAAAACAATGAAGAAACGGATGCTGTGAGAGGAAATATGTCGGAAGGAAATGTGTTATGATTTCCGAATCACAATGGCTTTAAGGGGCCAGTCAGATTTTCATTGGCTCCAAGCCGTGCCCATGCAAAAGTCAGAGGCCACTCTTCTACGTGTTTAATTTCGTTCTACGTAAGCTTCCGTTCTCCTAAAAAGAAACCTCACTCCACATCTCAGATGTCCAGTTCCTAGTTAAAGTTTTCTTCTTGTTTGTCTTTTTTGTCTATTTTGTCTTAGTTGTCTTCTCATAGCAGAAGGATGGACAAAAACACTTCTTTTTTCCAGATCTGAGCTTATTTAAGTGCAGTTGATCTGATGGGGTCAGTGTTGGTGGTCTACCAGGCCTTACAGGTGGTAGTTATTTTCTCTATATCTTTTAATCAGTTTTTTGAACTCCTGTTTTTTTAACTTCTTTTCCTTTAATCTTCCTCTTCTTCATGCAAGTGGATTATCTTACTATCTCTAATCTCCTTAGAAATATCTCCTGAAAAATAAATAACATGTACATAATGTCCTTTTTGACTGGAAATGAAATCAATGAAGGGTGGTCTCTGGATTCCCGAATGTCTCTGAAGGGTAGTCAGTATTTTCACATATATGCTACCTGGTTATCTTGCTTTATTTACCTTAAAAGGCTTATCAAAATATTATTCGGTCTTGAACGGAGCAGCTGGATTACGCTTGGGGAGGATACTCAGTCTCAGTGAACTGTCAAAAGAGTTTCACAGTATTGTTCTTAAGCAGCTGCAGCAAAGATCTGTCAACTGTCCTTTTCTTCCAGTCCCAGCCACACTGATCCATTTGATAGATAGACTGCAGACAAGATAATAGCTTGTCTTTTGTGTGCACAGCATAGCTGTTTTAAGCAGAAAGAAACACATTCCCACCCAAAGCCTCCACAGCTTATTAACCAACCACCAAAGTAAAACGCTTCCTTTTCCAAAACGCTCTTTTAAGAAACAAAGGAGAGAAAGAAGCTAACTAGGCTACCATCTGTGACATGAGATCCAGCCCATACATGGCTACAGAGCGACAGCTGTGTTATATAAGCCAATATTTTAGCTAGGGCCCTTTTTTCCCAGTCAAATATTTTTGAACAAGAAGTGTTGCCTGCAAAGGCAATCACACTTGAAAGGCTCAGGGGAGTTTAGTGAGCACTCAGGAGCAGGCAAGGAGCCAAAAAACGACGAGGACACTGAGGCCTGGCAGGCCGTTCAGACGTTTTTTTCACGCGGGGCGCTCATTAATCAGCGGGCACCTGGGAGGAAGCGGAGGTGGTGGTGAGGAGGGGGGCTGGACAGGAGAACAGGAAATGGGCGACTGACGCTGGGCCAGCAAGAAGCAGGCCAGGTAGCAGATCCACCTCTGCAGTTGGGAACTCGTGCATATAATGCCCTGAAGATTTAAACTCGAAGACCTAAAATCCGGTTTCTGGTCCTCGATTTTATAATCACTGTTACTTAACTGAACTGTTGATGTAACTGTTGTAATTGGTTACTTAGTGTTATTCCTACCAGAAATTGCAAAATTCACAACAGGACTCAAGATCTGGATTCGAAGACCTCCACTATAAAGTGTACTTTTAACCTTTGCACAGACTACGTCTTGCTTTTTTCAATATGTTAAATTCAGCAAGTGAAGGATGTGTTTTCACTCGAAAACTAACAAAATGTCACTTGACTAGGGTACTCAAACTTTTGCACGTGTTAAAAATACTGGTGATGCTCTATAAACACTATTATAGACTTGCTAATGTAGTTTTTGACACTTTATGACATACTATCTGTAAACATGGACAAAAGAGCAAAGTTCAGCCTTCTACTGATGTTTTATGTATGGGATGCACTTTTTCATTTTTTTAGATAATAACAGTGTCAGAAACCACATAAGCAAGTCTATATCAGATTACAAAGCATCTCTGCACCGTCTGAGGCAATGATTTAGGCATGCAGTTAGCACAGCGTTAATTCATTGATGGGTGCAAGCTTAATTTTAGGCTTAGCTACATTAGCCAAACATTTAAGGAAGGGAAAAGTGTATAAACCTTTTTTACTGTTGCTTTAAAACTGAAACTGGACATGATGTGGATTGAGATTTTATGGACTGTTGAGTCTAAACTGGTAATTGGGATTATTTGGATCCTGGGAAGCAGTAAATATAACCAACTTCTAAGACTGAACTTTGGAAGTGTGGAAAAATATCTCTACTAAATATTAGATTCAGTTGTTGAGACTACTGTGTAAAGTTCTGTTAAATACATGTTTTTTTGCTTCTTCTGACACTGAGAAAAGAAAAACTGAATGGCTGATTTGACTGGAAATTAAATAAATGAAGGAACATCTCTGACTTTTGCCAAGCACTGTATATGGAATTACCTCCTCAAAAGTATTAATACAAGTGTACATGGCTGTGTGTGTGTGTGTGTGTGTGTGTATGTGTGTGTGTGTGTTATTACCACAGAGTGCAGCAGGTGTGTACGGGAGGTGCTGGGGCTGCTGAAGAAACCATGGTTGGGCACTAAATACTCATCAGCATCCACAGCCTCATCCAGGTCCACACCGCTCATCAGGCTGCGGTAGAACTTGGAGTCCGTGGGGCTCGGAAGGTGCATCCTCTCATCACCCTGCACAAGACAAAATCAACCACCTCCATTTACCTACAATGCTCCAGCACTGCCATTCTGAACATTTAGACTTGATGTAAAAATGCAGAATCGATTAGAATAATATAGTTGTGTGCTAAAGTTTTGGCACCCTGGTCAAACAGCATGTGTTGTTGATTTTCTAAGTGAAAATAAGTTAACGCATTCTCCACAGAGAACAACCTTCTGAACATTTTAATGCACAATTACTGTGTATTTTCTGAATTTAATAATATATTGGGGAAAAAATATAATAAATTGTGGCCTGTTCAAATATTATGGTACATTGTATATCTCATGTCACATTTAATTTTGTTCTGTGTAGAGGATGTGTTAACTTAGTTTCACTTAGAAAATCAACAAAACGTGTACTTTCACTCGATTTCTCAAACTTTTGCAAATGACTGTACATCAGTTTGATCATTTTTGGCCTAAATAAAATTCTCCAAGTAAAATTTTTATTGAATTTAAAGACTACGTTCCACTGTAAAAATTCAATTTTTTATTGTCTATATTACAATACTGTGTATATAGTTCATCCAGAAACATTTTTTAAAGAATTATAATTAAATCAAATCATTGTGAAGTCAGAGATGCACAGTGGCCACAGTACACCCACTGGTCATATTGCACTTACATGGACTGCCCATTTTTTAGGTTCGCTTATCATAAAGGTACACTTTGTAGTCCTACAATTACAGATTGTAGTCCGTCTGTGTCTCTGCATAATTTGTTAGTCTCCCGTTCACTCCTCACTTATCCAGCCAACAGTGGCCAGAAACTGACCACTGATGAAGGACTAGAGGATGACTAACACAAACTGTTCAGCAACAGATGAGCTATCGTCTCTGACTTTACATCTACATGGTGGAACAACAAGGTAGGAGTGTTTAATACCAGGTCAGTGTCACTGCAGTACTAAGAATGATCCACCACCCAAAAACTACCTGCTCTGTGGGGGTCCTGTGGGGGTCCTGAACATTGAAGAACAGGGTAACAAAGTATGCAGAGAAACAGATGGACAACAGTTTGCAATTGCAGAAATATATGGTAAGTGGAGCTGGAAAAATGAGCAATGTAGATGTGTAGATGCAAGGTATAAAATGGCCAATGAGAGTATATCATCACTGTATCTCTTGTAGCCTTATGTCTCAATTTTTATTTTTATTTTTTGCATAATTTGACAACACCAGCCCTCTTTTCCTTATTCTCTCACCTGAATGACAAGGTAGCGTGTTGGATCTCGTGCCATCTTGGAAAACTCTGCAATGAGCTCTCTGAATCTTGGCCTGCTGTCTGCATCGATCATCCAGCCTGAGGTAAAACATGACCACAATGATGAGGACGAGGAAATAACATTTGTGTCTGGTTTACAAAAGCCTCAATATTCAGCTGAATGAATCATCTGAATATGTCTTCTAAATTATAATCAAACTTCTCTCATTCTCCGATTCCATTAGCTCTGAAACTTCAGCAGGTCCAGATGATTCTTTCTAAAAATACTGATCCAGAAACCAAGACTAGGCTGATCTCAGGATGCTCTGCAATCTTACATTTGACCATGATCATGTACACGTCGATGGTGCAGATAGGAGGCTGTGGCAGCCTCTCTCCCTTCTCCAAAACTCCTGCGATTTCACTGGCAGGGATTCCATCATACGGCTTCGTCCCAAACGTCATCAGTTCCCAGACAGTCACGCCTACAGAGACAATGTTAAACATTAAGGAAGGAATGGTTCAGTCAAAAAAGCTCATTTGGCTAACAAAGAACAAAAACAAATAGCTGTCAATTAGCATGTTGCAAACTGAATGCCAACTGGTGGCCACTAGTTTCCATTCATTCTTAGCCACGTTCTTTCAAATACACTCACAAATACAATCTTCAATCCAGAACTGCATTTCTTTCAAACACAAACTAGCAGTATAATATAGCATAGTGCACTAATACAGTCGGCTCCATAATTATTTGCACTCTTGGTAAAGACGGGTAAAAAAGGACATTAAAAAACAAGGTCAATCTCACATTGAAAATATTGGCAAATATTTCTCCAAGGATCACAGATGAAGATTTGCAGAAAGTCTCCAAAAAAATTTAGATGCCATCTTCATGCCAGCAAACTTTTGGAAAGGCATGCCATAAGAAAGCCATCTAACTGTGCTATAAGAAAGCAATCTTTCATCTAACCACAAACAATCCTAGAATTCACTATTGGACAGATGAGACATATAAAGAGCTTTCTGGTAATAAATAATTAACATGGGTCTAAAGCATAGTATTAGAAATTAACCTTATGCCTATAGGGAAAGTATGTTGGAAGGTCTGTGATGTCTGGGGTTGTTTTTTCTCCAAAGGCCCTGAGAAATGTAGATACATGGCATCATGGACACCATCAAGTACCAAGAGATTTTAATTACAAACCTGGCAAAAAGCTAAAACTGGGTCAGGTTTGGATCAAGACAATGATCCAAAACACACGTCTGAATCCAGAGAAAAATGGTCCAATGACCTCAGAGTCAAGCTTTTGACACAATTATTGCAGTCGCCTGAAACAAACCTAGTTGAAAGCCTGTGTGGTGAGTTGTCGAGGTGAGCCCAAAAGAGAGAACATACACACTTACGAAAGATGGTTCTTCAAAGGGTTCTTTAGTAAAGAAAATGGTTCTACATAGAACCATGAAGATTCAAAGAACCCTCTGCATGATTAGTTTCTTTACATCATGAAAGCGTTCTTCAGATTGGTGAAGAATGTGCTGTAGATGGTTCTGTATGGAACCTTTTTGAAAATGATTCTATACAGCACTCAAAAGGGTTCTATTACTGTTACAATGTCAAGCTTGTAACAATAAAAGAACACTTTTGGGTGCTATATAGAGCCATCTATTGCACATCCATGCATTTTCATCAATCTAAAGAACCCTTCCAAGATGCACAGAACCCTTTAATCATGCAGAGGGTTCTTTTAGTGTTCATGGTTCTATACAGAACCATTTTCTTTACTAAAAAAACTCTTGAAGAACCATCTTTTTTAAGAGTGTGGGACACTGGAGGATCTGGAGATGTTGTGTATTGGATTGCTAGGTTTTTGTTTTCTTCGATTCAGTTTACTTCAAATAAAAATTAGACTTTTTCCACATATTTCTAGAGTGAGATTGAGCTAATTTACCACAAACACATTCCCCCCAATCTTTACCAAGGGTGCCAGTAATTCTGCCGCTGACAGTGTATTCTAGTATACTGAGAAGGATTTCTTACCGTAACTCCACACATCACTCTGATGTGTGTAAGTCCTGTGAAGGATGGATTCAAGCGCCATCCATTTTATTGGTACCTAAACGAAAACGAAATTCATGTTAACTGACTCTGAGAGATCTCAGACCTTACAAGAATACATTTCTCACTGAATCTGAATTCAATAGCTGTAATAATGAATAATGTTTTAACTTGTACCGTATGTACCTATTTAGGTTGTAAATATTTGTAAATGTAAATATTGTTCGTACATGCAAATACTGTAAATAATTTAAATGTAAACATTCACTCATTCTTACACGCCTGCAACATGTTCAAAAAAAACTGAGAATCTAAGACTAGGACGTTGTGAATTGTTCAAAAAAACATCCTAAAAAGGTGATGCCATCATGCTTGGGTATAACAGAAGCCTCCAGGAAAGGCCTAGTTCCTTATGACCAAAGACAGTGCACGGTTGACTACCTTCCAAAAATACGTCAGCAAATAATCGAACAGTTTAAGAAGTGTTTCTCAACGAGCGATGGCAGGGATCTTGGGTATTTCACCCTCTACAATGCATAATATCATCAAAAGATTCAGGGAATCCAGAGAAGTGTCTGTGCATAAAGGGCAAGGCCAAAAACCACAACTGAATGCCTGTGACTTCAGTCCCCCAGACAGCACTGCATTAAAAACTGGCATGTTTCTGTGACGGATATCACCACACAGCAGACCGGGTTTGATTCCCCACTCTGGAAAGAACCTAAAGTCCAGGGCGAGACTCCTAACGCTACATTAGCTTACTTCTATAACATGATCAGACTGGAAGTCATTCTGTATAAAAATATCTGCTAAATGCTGCAAATGTAACACAGGCTAAATTCACCCGCTTTATATATCTTAGATAATATATCTAAGCTGGTTGAGCGAATGAACCTTAGTAAGCAGGATTATAAAAACAGCTGATGATAAAAATGTTTATGTATCATGCTGCTTTGATATTTTGCGTTCTCTCAACAGTTTCTTTCTAGTACACACCTTCCCACCATCTGCATGGTACTCCTTCTCATCAGCGCTGAGCAGCTTGGCCAGGCCAAAATCGGTGATCTTCACATGCTGAGGGGTCTTCACCAGCACATTACGCGCAGCCAGGTCCCTGTGCACCAGGTGGCGCTCTTCTAGGTAGCTCATTCCCTGAAGCAGATGGCAAACACAAGTTCAGGGACTTTCCACAAAGAGTTTGAGACACAGAGACGAGAAACAGAGTTGGTTTTTTTCCAATCTAGTGCGTGTTCTTGTTTGTGCAAACAACATAATTCCATTAAGTTTTGACAGAACACTGCGTGGCATTTGCACCCTGTGCTACAGCCTCCCAAATATGTGAAAACATAATGATACATGAAATGTGTTTCGCTTCTCTCTCCACGTCCTCGCCACAGCTATCTGATCATCTCATTAAGAAGTGCAAAGCACAGGGAAAATATAATTCATTCTGAAGACCACCGGGGAAATATGACAAACACTGGCAAAATTCTTCAACTGCCTTTCCTTACAGTTTAATTAGAATTTATCACAGTGTATCAGATAAAGATAACATTCAGCACATCAGACCGCAAGGCAGCTGGCCTTCTCTAACATGATGAAGCTTCTCTGAATGGCTGTAATAACCACTTTTCTTTATGGCTCTTTGTGGACCAAAGCAATATTGCTGTGTTAACACTCTGCTCTGCAGAAGAAGCCAGTACAGTAGCAGACAGACTTCTGTGAAAGCTTGCCTGGTCCTCATTGGCCAGGCCTTTTCTGGGAATCATTTGTCAAGATCCACAATGGGATACTAAATCACCCTGAGACTGCGACACACTGTAAGACATTAAACAGCTTGCCTTTAGTCTTGTTCCACTGAGAATATATGTGCTAATGAATTGGCTGCTCTATAACTGTGCTACTAGGGCCCGACTGATACCTTTCTGCAGGCCCCTATGGCCATTCCACTGGCAGAATGGAAATTGATGTGGATATTTTCAATAAATATAATGAAACAATATATTTGCCCCCATAACTCTGTTATCAGATTAACTAGCATGCCCTTGGCTCTCTGTGTGTCAAATGTGACTCTGTGTTGAGCTGCTAGTGAGCAATGAGGGTTGAAAGAGGAGGGGAAACAATTTACACCTCTCCACAAAGATGGCTGTGCAGAGACAAAACAGATGCTGCAACTGCAGTTTCCTTCATATCAACAAATTGAGTACTTCCACAATAAAAAACATTAAATATAATAAAAACTCCTTTATTAATGTTAACTTGCCTGGTCATCTATAAAAACGGAAATCCAGTTTGTTTAATACAAAAACATATTTCAACTGTGCTTGAAAACACATAGCTCAACCCAAAGACCTCATAAACAGGTGGATTTAGGATGTTACGGCTACCATGAAAAGGTTAAAGGAGCTCAGTAAACTTCCCATAATCAATCATTTCAGCTGATCTATCTTTATTGTCAGTTGCCAAATATTTAAAACTGAAATAAACAGTCTTAAAAATGTACATGTAGTGTTAGAAAACTTAAAACTAAACATTAAAAGGGGTAAAAAAACAAGAACTCTCACAATGATGAACACTAACATCATCATAGCTCCCTTAATGCAAGACAGTATGTCAGGTTGTGGTCCAAAATAGCATCATGTTCCTGAAAGTGGACGCTTAAATACACACTATCAGCACTTTATAAGTGGAATTTCAGGCAATCTGTGTTCAATTGTATCAGTTAAATGATAAATATCACACTAATATCACTATTACCACTTTTACTCTACTGCTCTGCTCCATTGCTCCACTACTTTGATGTGAAAATGATCCTGTAGATAATAGAATGGTTGTCAACAAAGATTAAAAAAGCAGTCATTACCTTTGCAATCTGCACACACCAGTTGAGCAGGTGCTGAGAGCCAATGTTGTCCTTGTTCTCCTTGACGTAGTCTAACAGGCAGCCATAGGGCATGAGCTGGGTGACCAGCTGCACTGTGGACGTCAGGCAGATGCCCAGCAGGCGACACACATGAGGGTGTTCCACACTGGCCATCACATAGGCCTCCTGAAGGCACAAAGGCAGTTAGCATGAATGCTAGCCATGCTAGCATTGTCACTAGCTTGGACTAGTGACAATATACCACAATCAGAGCCCCTAATTCAAACGTGGTCTAGTCTTTTTTTGTTAGAAAAAAATATGAATCAAAAGAAAAACCTGAGTGGAACATCTAAGAACTTTTCATCAGGTGATAAAATAAATGCTAATGAAAAGTTAGCAAAATGGCTAGCATGTTGAGATGGGGTGATCCCTATTTTCCCAGGGTTCTATGTGTCCCAGGCCCTTTATTTTCTCGCCAAATTTTCTAGGAAACGGTCCCATGTCCCCAGGGTCATAGGTTCTCCAGGCCCTTTGTACCCTCTTTGTAATTTTAGGAAAAGCCCTATATTTTTAGGGTCCTTTATTTCCAGGTTCCTATGTTTCCTCATTGAGGTTTTAATGGATAATAGCTCTATGTTCCAAAGTTGCCTCGATCACTTCCTCAACATGAAAAAATGAGAAATGTCCATATCTCTGGAATATTGACAAACTCACATGTTCTGGTGTTACATGCTCAGTCAATACACTTTTACATTGTATTTTATGTACATTCTGCTCCCAAAGATTCCCTTATTAAAACACACTGAACATTTAGTGAACAAGAATGAGAAACTCCTCTTTGACAGACAGCATTTTAAAGCGTTTGTTCATGATTTTATTTGAACTTCACGATGTTAACAGCATTGCAAAACATTGCCAAAGATGGCATTCGTGCTTACAGAGGAATTTCTGGGCACATTCTCAACATCTACCCTCCATTTAATACTGTTTTTCTCATGCCCTCATCATTTCCCCTTATATCAGATGAAGTTTGTTGTGCTAACTTGCTAGTTAACAAGCTAAAGGCTACTTAACTGCACACTTAAATATGATGGTTCTATATAGAACCATCTACAGCACGTTCTCCATCAATCTGAAGAACGCTTTCATGATGCAAAGAACCCTTTAACAATGTATAATGTTCTTTGAGTGTTCATGGTTCTACATAAACATTTTATTTACTAAAGAACCCTTGAAGAGCCATCTTTAAGAGTGTGTAGCAACAACACACTTAAACCAAACAAAGCAATTATTCAAAAAGTTTACAAGTTTACTTTGATTTCTTTAAAGAATTACAAAATTAAATTACAAAGTTTGCTTAGCTAGCTAATTAGCTCGCTGATGATAGCCTAGCTGAGTCAAAGTGCGTTCCTACTGAAGAATCAGCATTTCGTTGTTCCCTGTATGGAATTTGATGGTCCTATGATCACCATGAGCTTGGGAAACCTCTCATAGGTTCTTTTAATGTATCATATTGAGGTATGATGTATCATATCGCTGCTGCTGGAACAAAACCTTGTATCTCCATTTTTATCGTTTTTTCAGTTTTTGACATAATTTGAAACGGTGCAAACGGTCTTTGCGCTGTGTGTAAATTTCATGAAGAATGGACCAAAACAAACGACCCAAAATGACTTGGAAAAAAGTCTGGTTCCACTGACTTACATTAAAAGTCAAGTATGTTTTTTCCTTTTCCTGTAAAGTTACCATTTTGGAGATACAGGGTTTTCTCCCTACAACAGAGATATAAAAGAACGTAGAACTCTGGGAGACACAGAACCCTGGAAAAGCAAGGCTTTTGGAACATAGAATACTGGAAACTTAGTGACCGGAGAACATAGGTACACTCCCATTAGGCACTATGCCATGTCTGTAAGTTTGCAAAATGTTCACAGAAATGCTGGTGTCAAACTTCAAGAGAAAGGCAGGTTCAAGAGGAGGCCTCAGTTCACTGAACATCACAAGGACAACCAAAAAAAACCTGCTCAATGTTAAAATATAACATTGGACAAGACACTGGAAGTTCTGTAGATTTATGGCACTGGCGTCAAAAATATTTGTTTTCTTTTCTTTTAAGTTGCGAGGGAGTAGATGGCTGATATTTCAGCTGGTCCTTGATTCAGCACATCCTTATTAATATTTACAGGCCTGTTCGCTGTCAGATATCTGTTTCTTCCTCCTATCAAAGGCATCCATGTTTACATAGTCGAGTTATCTTCAGAGCTACTCTGACTTCCATGCTATCACTAAAAACACATCCTCTCATTCAAAGGGGATTTTCTTTTAAACTAAATTTTTATCTTGAGTTGGAGCTTTGCTCCTTCAGGTCCAAGAACAAACTGACTTTTTCAGAATTCCGCCTTGTGCCATTACACATAACACTGCACCGCATTTATGTGCAGATACTGACAATACATCCTTTTCATGTACATTAAAGTCATCAAAACTGACTTTTTGACCGTGTTAGTTTATGTACATGGTCATATTAAGCATGATAATATAATTTAAAAGTCAAAATTCTTGTTTCCCATAATCTTTGATCAAAGCACAGGCCCCTTAGTTCCAGTGAAGGTGCATATAAAGACATTTTAGGCAATTATATGCTTTCAACTTTGTGGCAGCGGTTTGGGGAAGGCCCTTAACAGCTCCAGCATGACTGTGTCCTTGGGAACAAAGTGAGCTCCATAAAGACATAGTTTGATGATTTTGGTGTGGAGGAACTCCAGTGGCCGGCACAGAGCCCTGACCTCAACCCCACTGGACACCTTTGGGATGAACTGGAATGTCAGTTTTGAGCCAGGCCTTCTTGTCCAACATCAGTGCCTGACCTCACAAAGGCTTTTTGGATTGAATGGGCACAAATTCCCAAAGACGCACTCCAAAATCTTGTGGAAAGCCTTCCCAGAAGAGCAGAGGCTGTTATAGCAGGCAACTCCATATAATGCCTATGGTTTTAGAATGGGATGTCTATATATATATCTCATATGGGCATGATGTGGTGAAAGGTGTCGACATACATTTGGTCATATACTGTAATCATTTACTCTTTTTTTTACAGATTATAAATCTTATACAATGATCTTTACAGGATAACTTGAGCACAGTTTAGCATTCTTTTCCAAATTTCTATACCTATATCAACTCATCTGCTATGCTGTGGCACAAGTGTGAGTTTAACACCTCTGGTATGACTGCTCTACACTGTTAGAAATAAAGGTTCTGTGCAGGTACTATTTTCATGTATCAAGGTACAAACAATGTAAATGTTCCCTCAAAGGTACAACAGTGGTTTTAGGGTCCAATTGTGGACCTTACATAAGTTTTTCCAGGTGAAAAGTACATATTTGTATCTTTTCATAACCGAATGTTTTAAAACAGAACAATAAAATAATGAGCCTGGAGACGAGACGGGGTGTGTGGAGTCAGTACAACTTAGAAAATATCATTTCAATGGATTATGGTACAGTTATGTTCCCTGACTAAAGGTGCTGAGATGTACCCTTTGGTGGTACCATCCCAGTGACAAGAGGGGTCCTGCCCCACTGACATTTTCATATCTTTTTTCCTAAGAGTGTAGAACTGTTGAATAACTAACTGCTATGAAAACAGTCCTGCCATGTTGACAGGCCTGTAAAGACTTAGCTAATAGCTGAAAATGCCGTGCATAAATTGAAAATTATGCAATAATTGTTGCACAATTAGAATAAAAAGAACATTGGATAATCTATGAGCGTCATGAATTGCTAATCAAGACCAAATGACTGTCGTAATAGATTTTCCAGCACTGACAGCTGAAAACCACTAAAATAAAGAATCCCTGTTATGATCTGTTATGGTCATATTGTATTAATAAAGATTTCAAACATTCCTCAAACTCACATCAAGAATTTCTTTGTTTGCTTTCGGGGACGTGGCCTCTCGCAAAACTTTAATGGCCACAGGGATCTTCACATCTTCCCCTTCTGGGACCCACAAGCCCTGCAAAGAGAGGCATATTATCACAAGATTTCAACACAACGCCCAGAGGGCTGCATCGCTGCGCATGGAATTCAGTTCCAAGGTCTGAAATTCCAGCACTTGCAAACAAGTGCCATGAGCCAAGGGCACACTGGAACTGGCCTGGATGTGGAAAGAGACTGAGCAGATGATACATGTATAGCCTAAAAACATGTTGATTAAAAAGATGTGCCAGCAGATACAAAAACAAGTCCAATGAGGATTGAGTATCTGACAGTGAGATTATGCGTTAGATTATTAAATAGTGTTTCTTAGCAACCTGTCCACACTGAAAAAAGCGATGGCACTTTCAAACTTTTAGATCATTTCCACAATAACAAAATATTCTGCATCAACAAAATCATTGTCAAATTTACTGAAAGGCAAAAATGTGTTGATATACTGCACCGAGTGAATTCAGTGCATTGCAAATATTATGCAGAGCATTAGGCCATGATCGCAAGATGTTTTTAATATCTGTCAAAAAAATTGATACACGCTGCTGGTCTGTTTTGGGTGTGTTTGTGGGTGGAGATGTGATGACAGATGTAAAACTCATTCAAATATAAAAGCTCATAAGTGAAAATTGCTGCCGGTTGTTCTTTTACACAAAGGCAAGAAAAAAGGATGCGTGTGAGTAGAGCTGGGCAACAACACAATCTTTATCGCTACCGTGTTCAATTACATCAATAAGCTTTTCTGAGTACACTGTGGATATCATCAGCACCTAAAATCACTATAAAACCCCCAGCTGCACATTTGATTACAAAGAGAGCATAATTAGTCCTATTTAACTGGATTTAGCGCAGCTCAGTGAGCGGAATGTTGAAAACAAGGCATTGTTTTCATAGTTTTTGATGATATTTTGAAAATGTGGAACTACTTTGTCTGTTCCAACATATCAGACGTCAGAAAAAATATGCATGACACATCATGTATCATAAAAACGTCCTTAAGTATCATGATAGTAGATTTTGCCATATCGCCCACCTCTACACGTGAGTTCTAATTAAACCAGTCACTGTTCTAATAGATCCTTAGAGCTGGATATTACATTGGGTTGACTGCAGTGATTAGTTTTTCCTTCTGTTTTGCTTAAAACTGATGTGGCTGCCCCACACTCTGTCTCCAACTGACTAATGAATATGTCAGTGCATCCTAAATCAAAATTCAAACTCTGGTGAACATTTTTAACGGACAATTGAGCGTAATTTTCATGCACTGCTATGTCTTGGCATCTGCTGTCTGCCAACACATCACACTCATTGAAAATAATGGCAAGAGGTGCGTTTTTACCAGATACAAAAATGTCCTTATGAGCACAGCCTTACTTATTTCAACACTTTTTTGATGATTCCATTAAAGGGGAATTCCACTGATTTGTCAACATTTCTGCATATGGTCGAGATGTAAACAAAGTCTTTCAGAGTGGTTTAATGTGAAATGGTACAGTATTGTAGAGAAATAAGGGTGACAGGGACCATTTCATTTATTATCTAAAATGACCAGTGAATGTACATGTGTCTTCTGAGATTTATACATAAAATGAATAGTAGTAAGAGGCAGACAGTGGTAAATCTGAAAAAATAACATTGTGGTCTTTCTCTGTGCTCTATTCACAGCCTCCAAACTGCATAAGTTCACTGACACCCATACAGAACATTTCTATCATTGGCAACAACAGCAGCTTATCCAGTTTTAATTTTCTTTACTGTGAGATATTTCTATGATAATCATACTTCTTACTTCAAGCTTAATCAGAAATGTGCTTTTACTTTGATAGTCAAACATCTAAACAGTCTGTCTTATAGTCAAATACACATACCAACAAAATAAAGGGCAGAGACAGAGAGCAGAATCAGGCTGTGTTCTGTGACTGACAGGAAAAAAGTCTCTCGTGATGTAGCGTCAACAGCAAGGTGAGATTGAGGAGCAAATGTGTGCATATTTATATTTAGTTGCACTCCAGACGTGGCACAGACACTAAACTCTAAGCCCCCTAACCAGGATCTGATTATTACGGCATGACACTTTTCCAAATTCTGGAGTGAGGCTCTGACATCATTGCTCGTTTCTCACGTGAGGTGATATCTGTTTTGTGTGTGTACAGTGTGCGAGCGACAAAACAACTTCACACAATTCCATGCATCTACATTCCCGTCTCATCATCCACAGACTGATCAGATTAATTGTTTAAGCCAGTGAACCTAATTAAAAAGACAGAATTTTTAATGTTAACCGGCCAAAATGTATGAGGAAGACGAGTTTTAGACAAGATTTCCCATATCTCTAACCTTATACGGCCGCAGTCCCTCAAAACTGAGAATAGAACTATATTAACAAGTAAACCATACCTCACAATGATCTACATGTACCTCTCTGCCATGAATGGATTTTAATGTTTTTTGGGCCAAAACTTTCTCTCAGAACCATCATAAAGCCATGTTTTCAGATTCACAACAGAAAATCATCTTAAATGTGACTTTTTTTTAAATTACATACTTAAGGAAAAAAAATAGATAAATTATTATTCTTTAAATAACAATTATATAAACAGTTTAAAAATATATGCTCTGTTTTCTTAACCTTACGTCACTCTCACATTTGACATATAACTGCTAAAATAAACCAAGGAGGTTATTTCCTGTTTCCTCCACCATCCCATTTAGTTTTTGTTATTCTTGTTTGATTTTGTTTTACCTTTATTTTGCTGTCCTCAGGCACTGATGTGATTAAACTGAATAACCAGTTAGCAAAAATATGGAATAATTTCTGCTAATCTGTAAAATGTAACATGATGTTGATAGTCTACATTAGTGGTTCCAAATCTTGGTCCTGGAGAACCCAGTGCCCTGTGCATTGTAGTGTTTTCCTGCTCCCAACATACCTGATTCAACAAAGCAGCTAATGAAAAAGCCCTTCCTGAGTTGAACTGGGTGTTTTAGAGCAGGAAAACACAAAGACGTGCAGGGCAGGGGGCACTTCAGGACCAGGGTTGGGAACCTGTGGTCTACATGAGAAATAACCGATAGCAGGGGTGCCCAATCCTGTTCCTGAAGATGTGGCACCCGGCAGAACTTAGCTCCAACTGTAATCTCACTCTCCTAATCCAGGTAAACAAGGCCTTCAGGGGCTTCTGAACACTAGACCCAGGTAAACTGGATCTGAACTCTCCACAGCCTACATAGATTTTCTTAAGGAAAATAATAAAGTCTTTCTTGAGAGAATAAACTAAATTGTAAATTAATTTAAGTGCTCATCTTAAGATCCTTAGGAAGTTTTTTCTTAGGATACCTTTCATGAATCTGGCCCCAGACTCCCATCACCACCACTGTGAACAATTCTGACACTGGAAGGTTCTCTAGAACGGAGCATTTCACACCACTCTGAATCACTTTGTTAACATCTTAACCATTTAATTATGCAGACATTTTGAACATTTGTTGGAATTCTCCTTTAAATTTAGGGCCTTCAGTTTATTTGAATATGGGACAACAGAAATAGAGTAGTCACCTTATACACAGTGCCGAAAGCTCCGGAACCCAGAACTTTGATCTTCTTAAACTCGGTTTCTTTGAGGATGCGCAGCAGGGCCTGGTTTGGAGCTTCTCCGCTGGGGGTGAGCGGCTCCACTAACTGAAGAGACAGACACATCCTCTCAGGAAAACACTTCTACACAATCACTAAAGAGCACATCCTGTCTACATCTGCTGTTTCCTCTCTCATAATCACCAGGACAACACTAGTCTTTGTTAAGACAGCCACCTTCCACTTATCAGTGTCAACAGTTGTCAACAGAACAGCAGGGCTGCTGGTCTGGCTTCAGCTTAAAGTGATGCTCTGATCATTTGAAATGTATACAGTTTTTATGCAGTTAGCATAGACGTAGTCGATCAGCCAAGACATGTTTTGCATTGGAGCTATGAGGCTAAAGCGGTTAGCAAGTAATGGATTAGCATCGTGCAAATAGCATGCCTAAATTATCAGAGCTGGTCTAGAGCAGAGGTTCTCAACCTTTTCCACCTCAAGGCCCACCTGTTTATCACTAGAAGGCATGAAAGTGCACAAGAAATCAATATGTTTTTGCTTAAAAATGTCCTTTTTTGGGAAATGTTCAACATGTGGAGGCCTACTACTGCAATATCTGATGTGTATCAGTGAACATGAAGTATCAACAGAACATTGGTGCAGGTGGACAAATGAATGTTCAGGTGTTTCTAGAGGCAAAGGGCAAAAAAAAGGGGAAAAAAATTGACAAAGCTGCCTTTGCACTGTTACAACTATCTGAAAACACCACATATTTCTTTTTTTATTGTTAAGTCAATTATTTTTTCCCTGAAGTGCCATCACAGGCCCACTATGGACCACTGGCCCCCCTCAGTACAGGTCCAAAGACCACCAAGGGCCGCTTTGTGGCCCACTTGTGGTCCTCGGCCCAGTGGTTGAGAAACCCTGGTCCTGACTTGAGATTACTTAACAACTCTGCCTGGTTTGAGGCAAGTGTGCATGCACTTTGCATGATGCTAACATGCTTAAGCTTCCATTACTAAGGAAGAAACCTTCAGACACCGAACATGCCTTGGCTGGTTGACTACATTTAGGCTAATGGGGAAAATAATGTAAATCTGATGTTTAGTCCAGTTATCCAGCACTTGGTTTGACCGTGGTAACTGGTAGAGAGTATGTAGGCTTATGAATATGGCTGAACCTCTCTCTCCTGCAGCAATCTGCGCAGTGTTCTCTTCCTTTTGATGTGTCGTCTCCTTATGAGCACCGCCACACCCAGACTGAGGATAACAAAGGCCAGGAGACCGCCGACCACACCAGCAGCGATTACGGACATGCCTGAATAACTGAGAGATGAGATACAAAATGTATGTGAAAATCCAGCAAAAAGATTTTTATTTGCTGTAACTGAAAGATTTTCATAAATTATCTTCAGCATGAACACCCATGCTATGGTGTATCCCTATTGTTCTGGGATATGACATGATGAATAGACCAATAGAATCCAAAATTACTTAATTTTGTTAATACAATTACTGTCCAAATGTCAGAGACCACCCTTTATTTATTTCATTTCCAGTCAAAACAACCATTAAGTGCAAGTTATTCATTTCATTCATTTATTATAGCTTCCATTCTTTTCAGGAGACTCACTTTGAGTTCCCAAAGAAATCTGCAGGGATATTTTTCCACACCTCCAAAGTTCAGTCTTAGAAGTTGGTTGCTTCTAATTTTCTGCTTCTCAACATCCAAGTAATCCCAAACCCAATCAAAAATGTTGAGGTCTGGACTCTGGAGTGGTCATTCCATTGTTCTGAGAACACCAGCAGCTTCTTTGTTTGATGTGTCCGTCTCCTCAGTGAGGCTTCTTGACAGCTACACATCCTTTCAGACCCATAGTGCTGAGTTGTCTTCCCACAGTGGAAGGATGGACAGAAACACCTGTGGATGTTTTCAGATCTGAAGCAGCTTGATTTTCTCCTCTCTCTCAAAGATGAAAGGTTTAAGTGCTGTTTATCTGATGGGGGCAGTTTTGGTGTCTACCAGGTCTTGTATGGTTGTTGAGAATCCATTTGTAGCTTTCAATCATTTTTTGTTTTGGAAACTCCTCTTTATTTACACTTATTTTTCTTGGTGGAATAATGGAATATTTCATATCTAATCTCCTTAGAATTATCTCCTGAAAATGAATCACTTATATGATGAATAACAAACAGTGACTGGAAATGAATTAAATGAAGGATGATCTCTGACTTTTGCACAACATTAAAAGTTAAGAAAGCTGTTATCGCAGTGAAAATAAGTGTTTCTTGTACAAAATGCACACTTTCATAACTACAAACACTTTCTCCCTTTTCTTCCTCAACTCACGGCTTAAAATCTCTGCAGTCTTTCAGGTCTGGTCCAGTGCATCTAAAAGATGATAAAAGATCATAAAAAGGTTACATGGATATAAAAGACTCATGATATATAATTTTATAAAAAACAAATAAATACAAAAATATATTTAGAATACACAATAAAAGTCCACAGTATTCAAAGCATGTAGGAGAGAAGACACGTCATCCAAGACCAGTTTGACTGGATGTAAAGATGTCCTGCCATATTGTGTTTTCATGTTTGTGAAGGGTCAGCACACTCACCCTTGAGTGCAGTTCTGGTGGCAGAGCTGGCACACCCGTGTGCTGTCGGGGTATTTCCACACGAGGGTGTCCTTCTCCCCCGGGACACCCTGTGGGCAGCGAGCCACGCAGTGTGGTCCGTCTCTGAAGTTGGCACATTCTTTACAGCCGTCAGGGCCCTGAACCAAAAGAAGCCAAACATTAGACAAGCCACACTCTTTCATACTCCACCAACTTCTATCTTTGTTCTAGACTTTTAGGAACTGATTCCTTTTACGCTAAAATCCATGGTTTCCCTGAAGCGCACACACAAGAAAGAACATATACTGTGCATCAAAAGTTTAAGAACATCTTATCTTCTTCTGAAATGCTGCATGTAATGATGAATGTTACTTTTCAATTAAGTAAGAAAAAATACTTGCTAAAGGTTCTGCTAACATAAACCACTTCCTTACTAATAGTTCACTGAATCAAACAAATGCACTAAGTGAGTAGAAGTACAAGGTAGGTGTTTCTAATAAAGTGGCCAGTCAGTAGAGATACAAGGTGAATCAAATTAAGTGGCCAGTGAGTGGAAGTACAAAGTAAGTGTTTCCAATAAAGTGGCCAGTGAGAGGAACTACAAGGTGTTTCTAATAAAGTGACCAGTGTGTGGATGTGCAAGGTAGGTGTTTCTAATAAAGTGACCAGTGTGTGGATGTGCAAGGTAGGTGTTTCTAATAAAGTGGCCAGTGAGTGGAACTACAGGGTGTTTCTAATAAAGTGGCCAGTGAGTGGAAGTACAAAGGTAGGTGTTTCTAATAAAGTGTCCAGTGAGTGGAAGTACAAGGTAGGTGTTTCTAATAAAGTGGCCAGTGACTGGAAGTACAAGGCAAGAGTCTTCAAGATCTAGTGCACTTGTCAGAAGCAGGGATATCAACAGATCCTTAGAGAAACTCACAGGTCCTTCGCAGGTTAGAGTTCCATTCAGGGGTTTGCACTCGGGGTCACACTCAATACACGTCTTGTTGACTTCACACTCCCGCGGCTCACTGTGGAAGAAAAACAACAACATTATCACTACTGGTTTCACTATCCACAAACATGTTATGCAACAGGCCTCATAAAGATTACGACATGTTCCTCAGATTACCTTTTACAGACTGAGCTTCATTGACAGCTATGACTGTTTTAAGCTTTACATACTGTTCATGGTCTAATCCCTCATAGTACTGACCAGGTCAGTTTTATTCTGATCCACCTCACAGTCTAGATTTGGGCTTTGAAATGTGACATACATTTTACCATTTCACTGTTTTATGATCTTTGGTTTACCTGCAATTCATTCATTTAGGTCAAAATGAACCTAGAACAGTTTGGGGTTATTATGAGACGGAGACTGAGATCTAACACTCTTACCGTGCCCATCAAAGGTTGGCCTTCTGTTGAATCACTGGCTTAATCTCAAATGGCTCCTTTATCCCTATGTAGTCCACTATGTAGGCCAGACTGTACATGATATTTCTAAAAACAGTCATTTGGGACTCAGAAACATGTGCACACCTTCTTATTGGACATACAGCGCACTTTTTGGGTGAAGAAGTCACAATTTCATAACCCACATAGGGCACTATATAGGGAGTAGGGAGCCATTTGAGACTCCTTGGGAAGCCTATTGTCGATATGTTCACTGTTACTTTTCGATCAAGTAAGAAAAAAGGTTTTGGTAACATAAAACAGCAATTTAATATTACTTTTACTTTTAATGTTACTTTTACCTATTTATTTATTTATTTACAAAATGTCTTGTTTTGTATGAAGAGCTGGTTTCTTTTCCAAACTATTGTTAAAAGTACATACTGAAAACTACATATTAAACACATATAAAAATGAAAATATTCTGGCCCAAAGGTGTTTTAAATGCCTAAAAGATTTGAGTGCTGTTGAGTGCTAACAACAGAGTAAAATGTGTGGAACTTTGGCATCTTTGGTAAGGTAGGGCTTCTTTCAGTTTTGCAGCTTTTTAGCAGCAAAGAAAAATGGCCTTACAAAAAAATATCTTAAGAGATATAGAAAGTCACTACAAGCTAACAAAGAAAAAATACTCATTTTTTATTGAAAACATTTGAGAAGCCAAACTTTTGATGAGCAGTGTAGGGTCTTACACTTCACACAGTGTACAGGTGTGAGCAGTGAGGTGAGCTCACTCACCCCTCCAGCAGGTTACAGGAGGCCACGCAGCTCCTTTTGCGGCTCCGGTGTTCACAGCTGAAGCACATGGTGGGCCCTGGACCCCAGCAGCCTTCAGAAGTACACATCTCATCACAGGTACGGTTCTGTGCCGCTGCACAGAGAGAAAGAGAGAACATTCAGTACAGAGGAACCTAGGAACCATTTTTAAAAATCAAAATCCTAAATGTTAAAAGTACAGAGCCAAATTACTTCAATAGTACAGAGTATGAAAAAAAAATCCATGAAATTCAACAGCAAATTTCAATACATAAGTTCATTTCATGACAACATAAAAATGATTTATTCAAAACGGGCAGCTTAGTCTTCATAGGTGGACCATATGGACTGAGGAGTGAATGGTCTGTTTCAAAATTTTAGCAGTGTTTATATACTACATCAAACTCTTTTCCTTTAAAAAAGCAAGGAAAAGATATTGTCCCTTTAACGTCTTACCACAAGTGGCTTCGTCAGCGTTTTCCATGCGCCGGGCGGACTGGCTGTCTGATTTGAAGAGGCGTTTCCAGTGCTCAGGACTGTTGTAGCAGAGTTTTTTGTTGAGTGTGATGGAAACGTCGCCGTCGCTGATCTCCCTCAGAGCACGCAGGCCTAGGTGGGTGATGGGAATTCTGCTGACCCCGAGGCTGATCGTGCCTCTGGCAGAGGGCAACATGAGGGCAGAAGGAAAAGCCTTCAGTGCTAGTTTTTCTCATTAAACCATAAAAGAATATCTTTGCAGATAACACATATCTCAGAGCACCACTGTGAAAAATGACTCATGCGCTTACTGATATTTTGTTCGTCCGCGGATGACTTCCAAGTTTTCAAAGGGACTGAGAGAAGGCATAGTTGGAGACCAATACTGAACCAACAGAGTTCCTGTAAATGTAGATGAGCAGGAGTGTCATGTGCAAGAATAAAGGTGTCCGGGAAAATTTTGGTGAATGAATGGTCATAAATTTCCCCTTCCACTTTTCCAAACGTAGCTAATTTATAAACAAAAATGTATTTGCTATCAAGGTTAGTGTAGCTTATATATGATAGCTTATGATTTGATAGTAACGACAGCTTGTATCCCAGCAATTAGCATAATGTAATGTCAAAGACTTTGTTTTGACTCTATATGAAACCTATCAATAAAAATGGACACACTGACAGCCAAAATTCATTTCAAGATGGCTGCGGCTTCGCCTTTCAGTTGTGTAGCGTCCATTTTTGTCAGAGACCACGTAAGGAAGTCTAAAGTGGTGTGCAAAAGTTTGAACAACCCTGGTCAAACTGCACGTTGATTTTCTGAGTGAAAATAAGTGAACACATGCTTTACAGGGAACAAACTGATTCGCAAATTTTAGGGCACATTTTTTTATTTTTTGCTGAGTTTAAAATACTTAAATAAAATAAATAAAACCTAAAATCTAAAATGTGCACAGGTTTATGTTGTTTATGTTTTATTTTTTTCCAATATGCTGAATTTAGCAAATAAACAGGAATTGTACGGTAAAATGTGCAGAACTGTGTTCTCGGTAGAGGATGTGTTAACTTATTAGCAAAACAATTAAGCTCCGATTTGCATAGGAATCAAATACACTAAAAATTTCAATCTGGTTTTAGGCCACATCATAGTACAGAAACAGCACTAGTAAAAATTGTAAATTATCTATTATTATTTTCTGACCAAGATCATGTGTCCTTGTTAGTCCTCCTCGATCTTAGTGCGGCATTTGACACAATAGACCACGCTATCTTACTAGACAGACCAGAAAACCTTGTAGGGGTAACAGGAACAGCTCTTTCCTGGTTCAGGTCCTACCTCACTGATCGCTATCAGTTTGTTAATATACACGGTGAATCATCTGTTCTCACAAAATGAAAGTATGGTGTTCCACAAGGCTCTGTTTTAGGACCTGTATTATTCACATTATATATGCTACCACTAGGCACCATTATCAGTAAACACGGCATACATTTCCACTGCTATGCCGATGACACTCAGTTATATTTAGCAAGCGACCCAGATGATAAAATTAAACTTAGCAAGATTGAAGACTGTATAAAAGACATAAAAGACTGGATGTCGAGTAACTTTCTCCTTCTAAACTCGGATAAAACAGAGGTTCTGCTTCTTGGTCCAAAAGCAGCTGGAAACAAACTGTCTAATTTATCACTTAAACTTAACAATTTCTCAGTTGCATCAAGCTCATGTGTAAAAAGCCTTGGTGTCATTATAGACCCTGATCTGTCCTTCGACGCACATATAACTAACATTACTAGAACAGCCTTCCTGCATCTCCGCAATATTGCTAAATTGAGAAATGCATTATCTCTACAGGATGCAGAAAAGTTAGTTCATGCATTTATTACTTCAAGGCTAGATTACTGTAATGCCCTGCTGGCTGGATGTCCCAACAAAAGCCTTAACAAGCTTCAGTTGGTCCAGAACACTGCAGCCAGAATCCTTACAAGAACCAGAAAGTTTGACCATATCAGCCCAGTTTTATCAACCTTACACTGGTTACCAGTTAAATTTCGGATTGATTATAAAATTCTCTTACTAACTTATAAAGTTCTAAACTTTAGTACCTGAGTGAACTTCTCTCTCACTATGAACCATCCTGCCTACTTAGATCACAAGGTGCTGGCTCACTATTAGTACCCAGAATTAATAAAGTTACATCAGGGGGGAGAGCTTTCTTATACAAAGCCCCCCGGCTTTGGAATAGTCTTCCTGTTAATGTTCGGGACTCAGACACAGCCTCAGTGTTTAAGTCTAAGCTAAAAACTTACTTGTATAGTCAAGCCTTTGGTAATTAGTTTTCCCTGTCAGTTCTATACCTGCCAGAGTCTCTGCCAACACTGTAATTTGTGATCGGTCACCCATTACAGAACTGACTCTCTGTGTGTTTTCCTTTCTTTTCTTCGCCGAGTTGAACAGCTGCCCATCCTGTGCGTCTGACGCTGCTGCCTCTTCTGCCTTGATCAGGTGCCACTGCTCGCCAGCCCTCTGGACCGGCTTACCAACATTGAGCCTCCTGCTGTACAACACCGTGCAAACCTCACCCTCACAACCTGACCCCACTGATACTACTGCTGTTGCTCCATGAACTAATCAAAATCATACATTTGAACTAATCAATCATTTAAACTAATCAAATAAATCAATCACCCATTGCAGAACTGACTCCGTGTGATTATCTAATATCATCTTTTAGATCCAATCCATTTTTCAGTTCAAAAATCCAATCTAATACTCAGTTAGAAAGAGTAATTTTTTTTTCTCAGCAGTCCAGAGAGGCCACAGCATTCCACAGTTTTTCCTGCTGTAATCAATTCAATTAAGGGCTTAAAAATCGCTGATGAGTTTATTCGGCCGGGAAAGCACTAGGCTGCACAGTGCTTTCGCCCGCAGGTCTGAATTTGAGCCACTTTTATTAACAAATATAAATGCCACAAATATACCATGAATCACATATTAATAAAGCTATTTAGAAGCTGTACTAACCAGTAATTTCTTTGACTGTCTTGAAAACATTTAGCCTGGCAGGATCCATCTTGGGAGTCTTTGTATATTCATCTCTGCAGAAAACAGGAAAAAATATGAGACATCATTATGGAGCTTTTTTATCTGCCTTTTGTTCATCGGAATCAAAATTCCAATGAAAAAAAGAGTTAAATTACAACAGACTGTCAAGACTGTGCCCTTTTTATTGGCTAAGCACTGCTCTTGTGAAAACCTATCTATTCGGCCTACAGCAGTTTGGCTCCACCCACTTATGTTCAAGTTCTTATGAGTGTTTCAACCTGGACCGCTTTTTGATCGAGGCACAATACAGGACAACCAGAAGAGAGGTCATTTACATGTTGCTGTTGTTGGAAGAAAACCTTGTATCTCCAAAATAGTAACTTTACAGGAGAAGGAAAAAACCTACTTTACTTTTAATGTAAGTCAATGGAACCAGACTTTTTTCCAAGTCATTTTTGGGCGTTGCTTTTGGTCCATTTTTGAAATTTATGAACAATGTAAAGGGCAACAGGCATTTTCAAATTAGGTCAAAAACTGAAAAATTACAAAAATGGAGATACGAGGTTTTCTTCTAACGGCAGCGATGTATCAGTGTACAAGGCTCAGTAAGAAAAACAGCCTGTGAAATTCTAAAGGATAAAAAGGGGTTAGAAAACGGTCACATAAAAAAGAATTATTACTGTTTTTGGTTCACAAACAAACACAAACGTCATAAGGGAGGAAAATACAGTACTAGAAAAATGCAGGATATGGGCCATTGGATTCGACAGTTGGATGGGATCCTGGCTGTAGTCTCTTTTATATGAAATGTTGTTTTCTTTTTGTTTTTCCAGCTTACCCAGAAAGCGTTGTCTTAAGGATTAAGACATCTCCATTGATCGTTGTGCAATTTTCAAATGATTCAATGTTGCTGGCATTGATTGACAAGACACCAGCCAGATGACCCACTCCAAGTCCTGAGCAAACTAGAAGACAGCAACACATGATGAAAGATTAACAGTGGAGTAGAGGAGTGAGCAGTGCGTTCTGTAGCAGCATTTTTAAGGGACTGAACTTCAAGGAATTCCCTAGCTTTTTTTAACCTAATCTATTTCCGCCACATCTGTAGCAATGTGAACTGTAACCACACACAATAATGTCCCCGTACTTTGAAAAAGAACAGAAACCTATAACTCAAAATAGAAGCCAATGTGAAGATGCTTCAGCAACCGCTCATTGGTATCTATCATGCTGTTGTATGCATAAGTTTGGGCGCCCCTGGTCAAATGACGTTTTGTTGATTGATCGAAGTGTAAATAAGTGAACGCATCCTCTACAGAGAACACACTTCTGCACACTTTAATGCACAATTACTATTAATTTGCTGATCTGAACTAAGTGCAAAAGTTACGGCACACTCACACACAAACCACTTTCCTCAGCTGCCTGAAACGTTTCATTGGAATTCCACCCCTTATATCTGTTACAAGGTGAGGTCATCTCGTAACACAATCCTTATATACAGCTGCTCAGGAGAGAAGGGTCTGTCTGTCAGTGATGTTACGTTTGTGAACGATCCGGTTCTTTTCAGCAGCTCTTTGGTAAGAATGAAGGAAGCCGAGTCAGACTTGAGAGCAGTTCTTTTTACCGTTATGCCTAAATTCCACTGAGTAAAAACCAGCCTATCAGAAGAGACAGCCGGTGTCGCACTAGGCTCCTTAAAGCCAGAATGAGCAGGATATGTTGGTTGCTGTTTAAACACACCATTCAAAGTTGGCCAAGAGAGAGAGCAGCGGTGGTCAAGCGAGCTACAGAGTGCATGAAGAGAGGGAGTGGTATTAGCGAGAACAAAGCCGTGAATCAGAGAAATAAAATTTATTTTCTGACTGTTTCACGAACCTGTGGGAAGGATCATCCTGTCTCCTGCTGTGGCCTCACTATAGGTTAATAGTTATAGGTTTTCTCACTGTAGATGTGTTATTTTCACTTAGAAAATCAACAAAACATGCAACTTGACTGGAGGGGTTTAAACTTTTGCGTACAAGTGTAAGTGTTTTTTAAGTCAACATGTTTTTTTTTCTTTTCAAAGTACACAGAAATATCTCAAAATGATGGCTGGTGGAAATCAACCAGACGCTGCAGGTGTGGCAGAAAAAGATTAGTTTTGAAAAAAATCTAGAATATTCCTTCAATGACATGACACCAAATATTCAGTCCATTTGGAAAAAAAACAACTAAGAGGTGGATCAGACGTAACGTGAGTGTCCAGAAAAAGGTAATAGGAATGTTACCTTTTGGACACAGGCCATCACACTTCTTACACTTCCTGACCCCATCCTCGTCCACTTCGTGGGTGCCTGGACTGCACGCTCTCACACACGCACCGTGATCCGTGACCACATAGTTATCTGAAACAAACGTCAAGCCAGCAGCAGTCAGCCAGGAGTTATACAGCACTAAATACCAGCAGTATCTCTGAAACATTCACGAGGAACAATCTGCGGCCGGTGTTACTGAGAAACTAGCCGGGTTGGTTAACTGATGCAAGCTCACGATTCCAGACTGAATGATTGTCTTTGTCTTGGGTGGGCTTGATCACATTTTAACTTTGGGTGTCTGACACAGATGTGCGCAACGTCAGGCCACATGTAAGAAAAACCTAATAATAACCTATTTTTCAACATTTCTGCATTGAGATGTAAACAAAGTGGTGCACTGTATAGAATTTTATTTTCTTTATAGTAATGGTGATGGGAACCAGAGGTCGTGATGTCTACAACACAAACACAATCATTTCATTTATGACTTTATTAGAAACAACCAGTGAACTTACATGTGTCTTCTTTATATATAGTTCTCATACGGAATGCTGAAGTTGGTAAAATAGTGGCAAATGTAAAGAAAATCTGTTTTCTTTGGGAACTATTTTGCCTCACAACACCCTGCATGTAACTCTCCACCATCAATAAATAAAAAATATATATATATTTTAGGCCAAAATCTAATCTAGAACTATCATAACACAGTGTCTCAGGCATCATGCAGTGTATTCATAACCGTTTTGTGTGATAACTTTCCGTGATGAAGGTTTTAGAGGCATTAAACTCTTCAGATGTCTGGTTCCTATCACTTCCACTGTGAACAGTTCTGACTCTGCAAGTTTTTCTAAAATACAGAATTTCACACTGTATGGCTAAATGGCTTAGTTTACATTGTATCTATTTAATCATGCATATTTTCTTTTCAAAAAATGTAACAATTTAAATTTTTTTTCCTTCAACTGAAATCAGCCAAGACATGTTTTGTGTCTGAAGTTTGTTTCTGTAGTTTTTGCACAAGAGCTATGAGACTAATGTAGCTCAAACTGCATCAAGCTGTTAAGCTCAAACAGACTTGCTTATGTGGCTTCTGACACTGTAAGACATACTATTATCTATAAACACGTACAAAAGTACATTAACCTAACTAAAAAAAATGGCAGCAGCCATCATGTATCCTGAATTTCACCTGTACTTTAGTTCATTTCTGTGACTCTGGTGTGTCATACAGTGTCAAAAAGCAGAAACAAGTCTATTTGAGATTACTTAACTATTCAACATGGTTTGAGGTTAAGTGTTTGATGATTTAAGCATGCGGCTTGCACACAGCTAATTGGTGAGCTATAAGTTTCCACTACTTGTTAGCTACATTAGCCTCACAGGTCTAGTAAAAACATGTCCTGGCTGACTGACTGCATTTGGGGTGAGGGGGAACAAGTATAAACGAATTTTTTGGTCAAGCTAGACCTTGAACAATGTAGCATGTAGATGTAGGTGGTGCATATTTCTCATGTTGTATTATGCCGTACAAACTATCTTTTGCAGAAGCAGCAATTATTCATGCTGTGGTGTCTTGTAATTCATTCAGCTCCAAAGAAACTTTGGATTCTTAATTGAATCCAGCTGACTCAACAAATGGCCAAAATCAGTTTAGCTCCAGCTCTTACGTGGGCAGCTCTTGACGCATGTGGCCCCGAAGTTGTACTTCCCGTCCGGGTTGGGGGCCAGCTGGTGGGTGTTGGGGTTATAACGCATGAGAGGGGGGCATGCGTCTTTGCATGTATCTTCATCCTGGAAGTCCCTGCAGGCCTGCAAAACACACACACACACACACACTTGTTTTTTATACAATGTCAGGACATGGGATCTTACATATAAATGTAACCTGTTTGTAATTATATGATCCATATGTATTTTATATATATATATATATATATATATATATATATATATATATATATATATATATAAGTAACTATATGTAATAATATTATGACCCATATGTATACTCATATGCACGGGACATATATTTACATATATTTTTTAAAATATGTGTCGTTTGTATATTTGACACATATGTAAATATAGCGAATTGACCCTAATGCATATAATAATTAAATAATATCTATTTTATCTTCACATATGCACGTTTCAATATATTGACATATATTTCAATAATTTTATTTCAATGTATTTCAATATTCAAAAATGAGAGTTAAATATATTTACCACATACATTTTAAAACAACACATATATTGCACACATATTTTAATATGAGCAAACATATGTACATATATTTTTCTTCCATATGGGCACAAATCTTTAAATCTTTTTTTTTTTTTTTACAGAATTTAAATGTGCTGCCTGCTGTTAACACTGTTAATATCAAAAGCTCCAAAATGAATTGGAATAAAATCGTGTTCCATTAACTTACACTGAAAAATACGTGTTTTTTTCTTCTCCTGTAAAGTTACCATTTTTGAGATAAGAGGTTCTGACTGAAATGAAATGTATTACATGTATGTGCATCCCTATAAATAATAATAATGTGTCCAATATGTACAGAATTTTCTATATTAATAAGAATTTTCTAAGCCTAACCCTACACCTAATCTTAACCTCAGTAAACCCAAAAAAGCATTTTAGTTCCAAAAACTTTTAATTAAAAAAACACTGAGCTTTTGTAAAAACAATTATACACAGTCAGGAGGGTTTTGTGGGCGGGTTGGTCCTCTTTTCCTCTAATGTAACTACAAAGTCAGAAAATGAAAATGTATGAAAACAAACACCCACACAGACAAGCAGATCTGATAATGGAGCTTTTTCTCACTATCACAGGGGTTAAGTTTCCTCCAGTATGATGCTCTTATTGACGGGACGCCTCATTGGCACTGAATGGGCCACTACATCCTTGAGGACATGCACAGTGCCCACACAGCTTGATGTGCCTTCTGTAGCAATTAGATTATATTTGATGCAGGCTTTGCTGCCTATATGACATGAGAGGCTTTATAGAGACATGGTGTTAATAATGCTTAATCGACAATGAAGAGCTGACCAGCTACTTAGTTGTGGTTATGTTATTATGTTACATTATCATTTCCACTCTGAAGGTGCTTAGCTCTGCCCATTCCTGCAGACTGCAGTGTTAGTGCGATATGCATTATGCTGCTTTCTGCTCTGACATTCAAAAAGCAAATGTAGCATAAACCTTTTATGCATTACTGATATAATCTTCAGGCCGAAAATGATATTTTTTTAGAAACAAGGACTGTTGCTGTAATTTTAAAACCTTGTAACTCAAAAACTAAAAAAAAAAGAGGATTTTTTGGTTTTATTTAATGACAAAATGACATGAAATGAAATCTCTTTACATTAATGTACATCAAAGTTCACTGACTTAACTGTAAAATATCTTTGAAACTTTAAAAAACAGTTTCCATACCTTTCCCACATAAATCCTACATTTGGAACTACTGAAACAGCAGTACGACATTCTCAGTGTATTCCCTCACCAGGCAGTCTGTAGGTCTGGGTCCAGTGCAGCCAGAAGCGCAGTGTTCGTTGCAGCAGTCGCTGGGTTTAGGTCCCTTACACCTTCCAGAGCACTGCTCTGCACACGTCAGCTTCGTAACTGTAAACACATCGAACGACACAGTGTCTTTACACATGTATACGATCCAAAGAAACACTGATGTAGAAGTACAAATCCAAGACCCAGTGCTAAGTTTTAAAAGTGGCTGCAAGGCTTGGAAACCAGGAATCAGGTATTGGTTACCAAAAATGACAATATGGTGACATATTTTAGGCCAATATGTTGAATTATTATTATTATTATTATTATTCAATAATACATGACAGATTAATAATAAGACTAATATAAAATAATGGTTAAAACACTGATTTCGGCCTGTTGTGATTATTTTATTAAATGCGATTGCTCAAATGAATTTAAATCGATGGATCAGCTTGGTTCACAATATGAATGATAAACAGGCCAATCACAGGGATTTATGAAGACTCTCCACAATGGGAGAGCCATTAGGAGACGTAATGTGCATCACTGAAAGAGAGGAAACCCAGGATCTTCACAAATACTATTGTTTGTAGTTTTAAACTGCAATAAAATGTTTGTTGTTACAAAACAGGCTACTAACAGGCTAACAGGCTACTCCAATAACATTTCAGAGTGAATGTCTGGCTTTACTGAAGGCTTCACTGTAAAATGTCAACATAAAAAAGCTAGCTTATGTATTAAACCCAGTGTGGGAAACTGAATATACACCATTGCTAGCTTGGTGCTAACGTACAAGATTATTCTTAACGAAATTCCCAAAGAACAGCTAGCAGAAATTAGCACTGATATGGGTACTCAGGCTACTCATAAAGTGAAGATTTCTGCAGTAAACACTACTGTAAAATGATATACATGGCCATGTGAAAACGAAATGAAGCAACATTAAAGATTTTCAATTTCTTTTGTTATTAATAACTAATGTGTTTAATAACTAAACAAAATATTGTTTTGCATCTGTCATTAAGGCATACTGTGCTCAAATGCAGTGCTGACTGGTTCCAACTACACTCTTAAAACAGATGGTTCTTTAAGGTTCTTTAGTAATGAAAATGGTTCTGCACACTCAAAGAATGATTAAAGAGTTCTTTGCATCATTAAATTGTTCTTCTGATGGAGAGTGTGTTTTTTTATGGTTCTATATAGAACCTTTTTGAAAAGGGTTCTATAGAGCACCAAAAAGACTTCTTCTATTGTTACATTGTTAAGCCTGTAATAATAAAATAACCCTTTTTGGTGCTATGTAGAACCCTTTTTATAAAGATTCTATATAGAACCATAAAAAAACACACTCTCCATCAATGTGAAGAACACTTTCACCATAAAAAGAACCCTTTAATCATGCAAAGGGTTCTTTGAGTGTTCATGGTTCTTTATATAACCACTTTCTTGAAAAACCATCTTTTTAAGTGTGTACATGACAACATAACTTTAAAAAAGAGTGCATTTAAATGTGAGTAGTATCATATATTGCTGTTTATAGTTATTGTTACTTGTAAAATGAAGTAGTTGCCACAGATGCACTTTCTGCTAATCACAGTTTTCAGCAATAACATCTGCACTTGTGAAGTAAAATGTTGCAGCGATTTAGGCAGCTCAGCACTTTTCCTGAAAGCCTTTCAGTGCTCTTAATTATTCAGCGTGACCTACATGTTGCAATATTTATGAGCCGTACAATGGGAGGCATTTAATTCCGCCACCAAACAGCCCCGAATATTTACTACTCACACGTCTGGCAGTTCTCCGGGCCAGGAGCCCAACAAGAGCCGTTGTGGCAGCTCGAATCACACTTTTCACCTGGAGGAGAAAAAACAGTCAGCTCCCACTCCGCCATAGCAAATCAAACAAATCGGTCAGTTGGACTAAACAGTGGAATGGTTGATGCAAAACCCATACAATACACAGTGACCACTGCGACTAGTAAATCCTTCAGGGCTTTGTGGTGTTACTCACAGAATTTGTTATTGAGCTCGAGGCTGAGTGGACTGCTCTTTATATTTAAGATGTCTGCCCACTGGATGGTATCCACGTGACATAACGAAGGGTTGCTGGCAAACTTCACCCCACCCTTGAGTATTTCTGAGGAAGAAGAATCCACATTTTAATCCAGCACTGTAATTACTGTAGTCAAATTTATAACACATTATTGATGAAAACAAACAAAAACTTTAATATTCATTATATTATCTGTTGTGCAGTATCAACACCCAGATATTGCAAATACTGCTAGGAACCCTAGGTTTCCATTTAGCTTTAGCTTTCCCTTTAAAAATGGCTGTTGCCTTTGCCAGTCTGGTTGTTTAGGGCACCACAGGGTGACAACACACCTGTCCACCATCTGATCCAAGCTCTGAAGACTGAATGTTAGCTACTACAGCTGTATTAATTAGCCTTTTAGGCTTTAGCTAAACTTCTTGCCTACATAAATATTAGAGGCCTTCTAGGTTTCAAAGAAGACTTTATAGACAGGAACTAAAAATCACACATCTGTAATTTTAGCTTATTTATTTTAATGGAATCATGACTGTATTTAAGGTTTGCAGTAATTAATAAAATTGTTGGAAATTAGAATTTGTGATGACTATTCTATTCCTTTCACTGAATCACTGTAAACTGCTACATACAAGGTAAAATATGTGCTAATTAACTGTGACAGGCTTTGAATTAGGGTTAGAATATGTTATTTAGCAACTCTAAATGTCTGTATTTAAGTGAAGTCTGTGATAAAATGTTCATGTGCACCATTGCTAGCTTGGTGCTAACACTACAAACCCTGCAGACACTGCTGTGAGGATTTAAAAGGGATAAGTTAACATTAGCCATGAAGAATTCACAATTATGGATAATGTAACTAAACCTTGAGCTGATAGCCGGTTAGCTAACCTAGCTAGCCTGTGCTTTTCAGGTGTTATGCCAGAATAGTATTGTTAGCTAGAATTATAACTTTCATTTTCCAGACTGGAACCTTATCATTTTAAATAGTCAATCTAAACTGAAATTGTACATCACAAATAACAAAAAATATATATGTAAACATGCTTGTTGTGACCACTCAGACATATAAGCCAGAACTGGCCCAGAACTGTTAGCTAGAGAGGCACTAGTACAAATTAGCATTATCACAGCTGTGGTGGTCAGTTGAACAAAGGCTACTTAATAAGTGATTTAAAATGTTTCTAGACTAAACATTCTTATGCAATCATATTTCACTCACTCCCTGTTAGGAAGGACATGCCTCTATTTATTCAGCTCATAGTTGTGTTTCTCAAGCTTAGTTTCATAATGACTCTGTACTCTAAATACTGGACACATGCACATTTTCACAGCCCTGGGATGTTTTTTTTTCTTTTTTGACTCACTTTTGACTCACTTATTTCCCAAACTAAAGGCCTAGCTTTAATATTCATGAATTATTACTGATGAACATTAAAAAAGTTCTGTAAAAATGCTTCATATAACAGCCATGCTAATTAAAAAACATACAAGATTATATCTGACATAAAAAACACCATGAAGGTAAAGGTAACTGGTGATATGTATGAAGTGAAGTGTTTTAGTTAGTCTAGGTTTCTAAGTTTGGGCTGGGCTAGTCTAATTAAGCTATTATATAACTGCATTTACATAATAAAACACTAACAATAAATAACACTAAAGACCACCACAAACTGGATGCATCACGTCGTATAGCATTGCGTAGCATCACAAAGCAGATATAGTCTTGCTAGTAAAAGTAGCAAAGAGCGGCATAGCTGGTCACCAGCCAAACCAGCATATGTTGTGTTTTGGATGCTGGTATGCTGGTCAACCAGTATGACCATGTTGGTTGGCCAACTATACCAGCACCAGACCAGTGCCAACCATGGACATTATGCTGGTCTAAGCTGTTCTTTCCAGTACAAAGCACTGCTACACTACTCTAGACTTCTACGGGTTACATTAGATGCCACTAGATGCCACTAGATGCCTGTGTTTCTATTTGTTAGCTAGGCTAGCCTTACTAACAGCCAGTCACAGTGTACCACCTACTTCAGACTAGACTACTTCACTGGTCATGGCTTACCAGTCAGGCGGGTGAGGGGCAGTTTTTTCATGCCCATTCTTGTGGACTGATTGTAGTTTGACAGAACAGCTAGGGCAAAGTTGTTGTCAGGGTACAGCGTGTGGCCACGGATGATGCGCAGATTGGTAAGTGGAATTTCGGGCGCTTGGTTGAGAGCTATCAGGACGTAGCCACCAACCTCCTCGATGGTCTGAAGACATGCAAAAAAAGGTGTCAGTCTTAATTTTATCACTCATTCAAGTGTCTTTTACCATGAGGAACACAAACCTCCGGTATTTGCACACCAGTTACTTTTATGAGAATGTTTTATTATCATTAAAATCTTTTTGGTCAACTTTCCATGTCATTCCTTATGCAAAAAATCACCTATACCAAACTCTTTGGTATATTTTTCTTATATTTCTTTGTTTTCTCCCATATACAAGCTTGTGCTGTATTTCTATATACAGATTTAACATATATGTAAACATTAAAAATTGACTCTGTTACACATATTGCATCTACATATGTGCATAGATTTAAATTTATATATATTTGGTGCACATATGTGTATATAGCATCTATATAATTAAAAAGGCTGTGCTTTTAAGACTGATATATGCAAATGACTCCTGTTCTGATTTGATGCCCCATTTTTCTATCTCATTTAAAGAGCTGAAACACTCCTTATAACTTCAAAATGAACGGGCAGAGGGAAGGCTAAAATGGCAGAAATACATGTGCTGGTTTTTGTGACATCACAAAAACTGCATTGAAAATGAATGTTTTTGCTTTTATTGCAGCTTGTTTCGAAATATGGACCATATATCCCAGAAAGTGAATGGTGTGAACAATCTTTACAGTGTTTACATACCACTGCTTCATACTATTTTATAAATAAATAAATAAATAAATAAATACATACATACATAGATAGAGAAATTCCCTGATATTGGCCCTTTAAACCTTTTTCTATCATTAAAATATTTTTCAGATCTCCAAATTAGACTGTGTATGTTCCAAAACTTGAACGTGCAAAAAACATCAATTATGAACTTTGTGTATTTAAACTACCTGTATTTATAAATCATATTATATTGTATACCCTATTGCTCATCTGGCGTGGGCGTGTAGGATGTTTCATGGTTGTGAGTGGGAAAGGATGACTCTTGTTTGTACCTTCAGGAAGGACAGATCATGTTTGTCTGTGGTGTATGTGATCTCCAGGTTCTCCAGAATTACGGTGCAGTTGCTGTACATCTTCACCATGTTCTGATAGTGATCGTCAACACTGCTCAGAAGAGTCAGTCTGTTATTCCCTCCCTGACATACTGAGGAGAGACAAAGAGAGAGAGAACATTCATTTATTTCATTTCCAGTCAAAATGGCCATTAAATACAAGTCATTCATTTTTCAGCAGATATTTCTGAGGAGATTAGATGTAAGATAATCCACTTGCTCAAGGAAAAAGTAGGTCAAAGGAAAATAAGTGAAAAAAGTTTTCTAAAGAGTTTCCAAAACTGTTCACAAAATGATTAAACGTTTCAGAGAAATTGGGACTCCTCACAAGCGTGCAAGACTTTGGTGGACCACCAAAACTGTCATAAACAGATAAACAGCACTTAAAGCTTTCATCTTTGAGAGAGAGGAGAAAATCAAGCTGCTTCAGATCTGAAAACATCCACAGGTGTTTCTGTCCATCCTTCCACTTCCATGACTCAGCGCTGTGGGTCTGAAAGGATGTGTAGCTGTAAAGAAGACCTCACTGAGAAAAGGAGACGGACACATCGTACAAGGAAGCTGCTGGATTACTTGGATTGTAAGAAGCAGGAAATGCAGCTAATGTCTAAGACTGAACTTTGGAGGTGTGGAAAAATATCCCTGCAGATTTCTTTGAAAAACTGAAAGTGAGTCTCTTGATATGAAATGGAGGCTGTGATAAAGGTAGAGTGGACACACTAAATACTGAAAAATATGACTGTCTGTGTACAGACTCACCACACGGCACGCTGAAACATTCAAACATGTCCCACCAGATGAAACTAACGGTTACAAACTGTTCAACTGTTTCAGTGAGAATCATGAACACGTCCTGCAGCTCATGAATTACAGCACACAGAGCATCTGTTCAAACACACAGAGCAGCACAGGACCAAGAAAAACACCCAGATTCAGAGCACTCTCTCTCTTCTTCTTCTCTCATTCTCTCTCTCTCTCTTCTTGTCTCATTCTCTCTCTCTCTCTTCTTCTCTCTCTCTCTCTCTCTCTCTCTCTCTTCTTCTTCTTTCTCTCTCTCTCTTTCTTCTTCTTCTCTCATTCTCTCTCTCTCTTCTTCTTCTTCTTGATCTCTCTCTCTCTCTCTTTTTTTCCTCTCAGTTTTTCTCTTTCCTCTCTCTCTCTCAAATTCCTCTCTATTTCTCTTTCTTTTTCTTTCGTACCCTCTTTTTCTCTCTCCTCCATCTCTCTCACTTTCCTCACTACTTCTTTCTCTCACCTTTTTTTCCTCTCATTCCTCCATCTCTCGCACTTTCCTCCTTATTTCTCTCTCTCCTTCTTTCTCTGTCCTTCTTTCTCTCTCATTTTTCTCTTTTTTCTTCTTTCTTTCAGTCTCTATCTCCCCCTCTTTCTCCCTCTCTCTCACGCTCTGCTTCTCACTCTCTTTCCGCTCTTGCTTGCTCACCCCCACTCTCACTTTAAAGAGAGGGAGAAAATAGAAGGGAAAGAGAGAGAAACAGGGAGGAAAGTACCCTTACTTTCCTCCCTATTTCTCTTTCTTTCCTCCCTATTTCTCTCTCCATTTCCCTCCTTCTTTCTCCCTCTCTTTCTCTTCTCTCTGTTTCCTTCTCTCCCTGTATCTTCCTTTCCTTTTTTCTTTCTTTCTATCTCACTCTCTCCTTCTCTGTTTCTCTCTCACGCTCTCTCTGTTTCCCTCCCTCTCTTGCTCTCGCCCTCTCACTCTCTCTTCCTCTCTCGCTCTTGCTCTCACCCCCACTCTCTCTCTCTCTCTCTCTCTCTCTCTCTCTCTTTGATTAGAACCAGAGCTGCTCCTCCCTCATATCAAGCGAGTGGAGCTCTGACTGTCAAAAGAACGAGGAGGGACCAAATGACTTGTTCGTTTACCACTGACCAGATGTGGTGGTCTATTCTCCACACAGCAGTGTGTGTGTTGCTGGTATGAGTGTATCAGACACAGCAGTGTTACTGGAGTTTTTACACACGTCAGTGTCACTGTTGGGTCTAGAGTGGACCACCACCCAAAAATATCCAGACAAGAGCTGCTCTGTGGTCAGAAACTGACCACTGATGAAGAGGTAGAGTATGACTAACACAAACTGCGCATCATGTGGGCTAAAACCAGTCAAACAGCCAGTTCTGGTCGACTGGTTTAAAGATTTAAAGGAACACTTCAGCATATCTAATCAAATCTAATCTTATCTCTGCTTCATCTGTATTGTAGATGTATAATAGACACCAATGGACAGTTCAGCAGCTGCCCATCAGCTTCTACAGTAAGCGTTTTGAGACAGCTTTATTATTGTTCATGGTAATCAACTGTATGCTAAATTGTGCAGAGTCAGTGAGACATTCTGTTCTAGAGAAACTAGAGTCAGGATAGTTCACAGTGGTGGTGATAGGAACCAGACGTCTGAAGAGTTTAATGCTTCTAAAAGATCCCTCTAAGAACGTTATTAGACAAAATGGTTATGAATATGTTTCCTGCTGCCTGAGACATTCTTTTACCATAGTTTTGTGAAAAGGTTTTGGCCCAAAACATTTATTTTCAAAATGTAGTTGTGTTATAACTGAAGTTTGGGGGGAGGAACATGCCTGAAACCCCTCCTTCTTCCAATCTAACGCGCTATAAATTCACATCCTCACCTTCCGTTTCTGTGACGAAGCGTTCACAATCCCGACTGCCACCCCATCTCCTCCCTGTTCCTCAGCCCTACATCAGTACTACTACAGATTTGAGAGGGGTCTGGCCTTCTAGCTACAGGCAGAAGCTGCCCAGAACTCCAGCCCAAGGTCTCATAGTGTTTCCCCCTCCCTTACTCAGCCTTCCCTCATACTACCACCACCATGTTGAAGGCACTGTCTAAACTCACAAAATTCATTTATGGTATAGAGGTACCTGCTGGGTGTTGTAAGGCAAAATAGTCCCCAAAGAAAACTTATTTTTGCAGATTTACCATCATCATTACATATATAAACTATATATGTCATGGTATAAATGTATGAATATAAAGGCACGTGTAGATTCACTGGTCATTTTGTATAGCAAAATAAAATGGCTACAATTTGTGTTGTAGACATTAAGACTTCTGGTCACCACCACTGTAAAGAAATCCAAACCAGTAAGTTTCCAAATGCCTTTTTTGCTAATACTGGAGACAAAGTGCACTGACACTGACAGCACTGTCTGCAGGCAAGAAGCAGAAACTGGTTCATGATTCAGTGACTGAGCATGAAAGCCAGCAGACAGAAAGTCAACCAGCCAGACAGAAACAACTACTTTTAATGACTTACTGTATTTTCATTCCTCTTGCTCAGACTTATGCTGCTACTGCTAGTATAAGCAACTTCAAACGATCCATTCCCGAAAGGCATTTTTCTCATTATGTTTCATCGTATATATCTGCAGCCGGATGAATGTCTTGGGGGATCCTACCAAGAGGGCTTTCGCCAAAAGAGCAGAACAGCATGCACGAACGAAAAAATGTATATGTTGACCATGATTCAAAACAGTCTTCAACACAGATTGAAGCTTTACAACTTTCTGAATGGATGAAAAAGAAAGCTGAACATACCAAATCAATCACAAGCAGTGAAAGTCAATACCGAAAAAGATGTCAGAGAGAAAAGGAATAAAGATGTGAGGTAAAGGACACACCCAAAAAGTCCTTCAGAACAAAAACAACAATGCCATTTGAACTACACCAGCACAGGAATATTGCATAAGTAGCGCAACTGTGCACAGTTCATACTGGTAAATACTCAAAATCCAGAACATTTCGCCATCATCTCATAAAAAAGGACTAAATATTTCACGGCTCTTATAATCTCCTCAGTGGTGATAATTCTTTAGATACCGTCACTCACTGAGGTAGATTCCTGTGGGTGGCAGCAGGTACAGGCTCTGATAACAAAGAAGCTATTAGAAAGAGTGCAATGCAAACACGCTCAGGTCAAAGTTATCCTTTTTCTTAATCCCGTATTATGTAACTCCATGTTTGAATAAAGCTTCATGTTTAAATAAAGCCTCATGTTTGAATAAGAATGGAAAGAAAACATGATTATAATACGGTGCCAATAGGAGGAAGAGATGTGTTTAAGATCGTAAAGTTCATGCTTTTGTTGACACAATTCTTTTTTCTAATGTATTTTTAGCAATAATCATTTTTTTTAAGGCCAAACAATAAAAAATGTTCTATTTTTTTTAGAAATTTAGAAATTTCTGCATAACTCAATCACTGACATGTAAACAAAGGTATTCAGAGTGGTTTGATTTGAAATGGTTTATTGTAGAGAAACTTACAAACTCTGATTTCTTTACAGTGGTGGTGATGGGAACCAGGGGTCACCATGTCCACAACACAGATATAGCCATTTTATGTACTATCCAAAATGACCAGTGAGAGTTTTTATATGTAATGTTAGTGATGATATATCTGAAAAAAGAAGTGTGAATGTGTGAATGTATTGAAAATGTATATTAAATATGTTTTTAGGCCAAAACATCATTTAGGAACTAGCGGGCATCAGGTGGCATATTCATAAACATTTCATGTAATAACTTGGAGTGAGGGAGCTTTTAGAGGCACTAAACCCTTCAGACGTCTGGTTCCATTCACTGATACTGTGAATGATTCTGACTCAGTATTTTTCTCTAGAACAAAGTGTTTCACACCAATCTGAGTGACTTATATCTTAACCATTTAATTATGCACATTTTGTAAAATTGTGGTATTCATAATTCAGAAATATGCATTATCAGGACAACCGCAGGTACTAGCAAAATTAATTCACTGCATTTTTTAATGCCAATTTCAGATCTGTAATGCTACGTCCCTGCTATGTATATACTATGTAGCAGTGTTTACTGCAGAAATCTTTACTTTACAAGTAGCCTGAGTACCACTGCTAAGATAATACTAAGTTTGTTTCCACTTCTATTGGAATTTTCATGTTTTGTAAATGCCAAACTATCAGTTGTGCTTATTTCCCACACAAGGTTTAACTCCTTAAAATCTCAGGCTTATTACACACTAAGGCTTATTATTCAGCAACTACAGTGACTTCAATTTAAACGGGTTGAGGTATTCTTAGTTTA